AGTTTAACTTTCGATCCGAAAGTTTAAGGCAAGTTCTTCTTCTATCTCTTTCCCTTTGATTCGTGTTTCTGTAAATGCCTAGAAAATTTTAGGATTTATTAAATACATAAAATTAAATAATTATGCATGTTTAATTAGGTTAGAATGTAGGTTTTATGAAATTGGTTCATATCTGTTCTTGTGTTATGAATTGATAAAATACATGATTTTGATTTGATTTCTTATGTGAATTTTTACATGTTTAAATTACGTATTTTTCATATCTGTGGAATGATGGAACGTATAAACATGCCTAGGATTCCTAAACATTAAATAGGGACTAGGTTTGGGTTTTAATAAATTTAAATAGACTCAATCATAATGATACTTGCTATTTGAATGTTTTAAACAAACGAATGGATTTAATCTTTTAAAATATTTTAGCAATTGAGATTAAATATGTAGGATGAATTGGATATAGAGAATCCTTATTTAACGGTATAATAAAATATCATCAGGTATAAGATTCAGTTTGTGTAGGACATATGATATAGGAAGTTTAAAGAAATAATAAGTCATTTCTATTATGTGATAACTTGATATCATATTTATCATAGTTATTTATGGAATGTTTGATGTATTTCCTTAATTGGTACATCAATTGTTGGATTGTGTGGTTTAATGCACCGGTATGGGACGGTGGCATTCTAGGGATGGATTAACTTATCAGTTAAGTCCTACCTATTTTATATAAGGGAATGAATTAACTAAAATGTTAAGTCCTACTTATATTTAAGTCAGGTCAGCTGAACAAGTTGAATGACTTATGGAGGATTAATTTATTATGTAAGGGAATGGATTAACTAAAATGTTAAGTCCTACTTATATTCAAGTCAGGTCAGCTGAATAAGTTGAATGACTTATGGAGGATTAATTTATACTGGATAGAATGGTCACTAGATCATATATATATAAGTATGGTGCCATAATATGAGCTTGAGTCTCAGGATCAATGGTTAGGGCGCGTATATCGCTAAGGATGTGTAGCTAAATATAGTGTAGTTGTGTACCCTGGTAGGTCTAGGTACTCATGCCCACTATATGTGCGTTTTGCATGTTGCCTACTATTCAGGTTGAGACAACCCTATAGTCTAGTGAGGTTCCTTTAGTGTGTATATATATATATACGGACTACTAGTTACAGTTGGATTGATTAGGATGTATACGTGTATCGAATCTCTGCTTGGACTGTAGAAGAGTATAACTTGTTTGTGGGCCTGACCCACTATTATTTTTCAAGTGTTCGTCACGAGTAGAGGTTGTTTGTGCTGAGCGGGGAACAGTCTACTTCATTCTTCCGATGCTATATAGGAGTTCCTTTATGATTCAGTTTCCTGTTTTAGATTACTGTCATTTGTTTAGTTTGGATTTTCTAGGGGTCCACACAGTATGGATTCTCGAGTTGTATTTTGGAGGATCAGTTGTATCAGAAGAGTTTATTAATTAATGGAAATATATTATGAGGTTTATTATTAGATTATCATTTTAGTTTCTTGTCAGTATTTTATTTATTCTTCTTTACTCTTTTGTACTCTGTGTTCGTTTATTATCAATTTGTTTTGATATCCTCGGGTATTCAGGCGTAGGCCTGGCCAACCCGCATTCGGAAATTCGGGGGTATCACATGCGGCCTCACCAAGCAGCATCCAATCCGCATCGCCCTCCTCTCAGCTGGTTATTCTGTCTTTCACCGTGGGCGCTGCGCGGGTGGATGGCTCTCCTCACAAAGGTCAATCAATTGATCTAGGGCAGGCACTGACTTAATGACGGTGGCATTTTTGGAAGAGTAGAGGGTAAAATAGGCATTAGATTAATTGAGGGTTGTTTTTGCACAAATTGAAAAGAATAAGGGTGTTTTTTGCACACCTTTTTAAATAGGGGGTAAAAGTGTTATGAAAGATATACTTCAGGGGTGTTTTTTGTACTTTCCCCTTTTATATATATATATATTTTATAAACTCCACAGTATAATATTCTTTCCAAATTTTTTTAAATCTACTGCCGTAAAAAAATTACTCAACAAAATAATAAAAAAAACTACACCCCCAATTTTTATTTTTATTTTTAAAAACCCTATTTAATAGGGACCCATAATTATTTAAATTGGAATACATTAAAAAATCAACTACCTAAAATATATATTACATTAACAAGTAAACTCCACAAACCTAATAAATAATCTCAATTTGAAAAATTTTAAGCTTTAGTTTTTTAAAAAATAACAATTATATATATATATATATATATATATATATATATATATATATATATATAATATAGCCCATTTCTTTCCTTCTCCTTGTTTCACTATTTTGTAAATTAATTATTTTTATTTTTATTTTTATTTACATTATATATGCCCAAATTAGACTGGCATATTTAAGCATGTGTTTAAAATACTTTTTATTTATAGATGGTATTGTTTTACTCTTTTTATATATTAAAAAAGGAATAATACTTAGGTCTCTACAATATACGCACTGCCAGTATATACTAATAATAAATAGACACGTCCTATTTTAATTATCAAATCTCGATTTGGTAAATGAATATTTACATATCATATTTGATTTGATGATTAAACAAATTATAAATGTGATTTTATTACTTTTTATGATTTGGTAATTAAAATAAGACATATTCATTTATTATTAGTTCACAATGAGTATGTAATAGATTCTCACTAATGAAGACCTAAATATTATTTTTAAAAAAATAAAATAGTCTATGTAAAATCTAACATATTACAGAATATATATTTATTTAATTTTCGCCTCTTTTTATACCCAATAATTCGGTCCCCCAACTATAAGTCTCTGGCCCCACCCTACTTTTTTGGCACTTTTTGTTTTTACTCACAATAAAATCTTGCCAAATCATGTTTTTAGGAAATATGATTAAAAAATTCCATAATTCCAAACGGTGGCAGCGAGGATTTATAGCATTGTCTATGAAGTTATTGTGAGTTGAACATGATTTAAAAGCAGGGTATGGTTATAAAATTACATAATTTCAAACGGTGACAGCAAGAATTTATAATAATAAAGTTATTGTGAGTTGAACACGATTTAAAAAGCAGGGTATGGTTAAAAAATTACTAAAAATCAGATTAATGTATTTGATTAAAAATAAATAAATAATAAAAAATGAGAGAGAGGGAGAATAGAGTGATAATGGGGATTTCACTAAAATACTCTTTTAACAAAATAATTTTTTTAAAGATTGCTTATTCTACAAGGCAATGCCTTTGAATCTATCAAAGTACTCTTAGGTCTAAGCCTCCATGGCTGCAATTGATTTTTTCAATAATAATAATAATAAGAAAAAGACATAGTTGTTGTTGCCAAAAATATAGGTAAAGTAATTACTTGAACTGGCAATCTTAATCCAGTTTGACTATTTAGTTCCATTAGTTGGTTGATTGAGTTGAACATGATTTAAAAAATATTAACTAGACCACAACTGGAGTTAAGACTACTTTGAAACCCAAACCAATTTGAAATCAACCGTTATCATTAATCTTATTTTTGATGATATTGTCATTAAATATTAGTAACGATATGGATTAAGTTTGATGAATCCATATCTAAGTAACGTGGGCTTAATAGGGCCAAAATTAACCCGGCAGAGAATAATGTGGGCCTATTTGGGCCAAAAAAACTTTGATTAAAACTGCATATTGGAGATCAATCTAGTTTGACCAATCCAAATCTAATCCAATTAAAACGTAATGTGGGCCTAACTGGGCCAAAATAAATAACTTTTATTACATTTGCCACTAGTTGGTCCGGCAAATACAGCCCACTAGTTTCGGTGGTGTGGATCCACCAACCCTCTCAATTTCATATTCGGAGACATCAATCATCATCAACATAATTTTCAAAACCAGGTAAACAGAATTTTCAAGCCCCAACCAGGTTTTCAAACATCTCTAACATCTAAACCTTCATTTTGATTTCTATTCTAATTTTGTTGTATTATTGCCTGTTAACTTTTTTTTTTTTTAGAATAATATTATCATTAGAACTTTTTTCGTGACAAGATGCATGAGCTCTTATTATTTAGTCACTCAATTAAGACGGTTTTATTGAGATTTGTGAAAAGTCAAATGAACTTTTTAATAAATGTTTTAATTTGTTGGTTAAATGTCTAAAATGCAAAAGCTGAAGATAAAACATGAAATTTCTTTTCTTTGGCTATGTTTTCTCAACAACAAAAGGAAGCCTTTGGACATTAGTAGAAACCTTAAACCCTAGCCTCCAAACCCTAGTTCTGAAAATTCCTTCCAAACAAAAAGTTCTAATTCAACCCCAAACAACTTATCTACACATCAAGCTAATAATGGCCAATTTCATAATCAATGGACTCAATACAAAAAAAGTTTTTCAACTAATTAAGGGTATCACAAATTTATAAGCACATAACCCCTAAATCCTAATTTAAAAATAAAAAAAGAGTAACGCTTTTAAGAGCGTTGTCTAATGAAAAGAATCATGAGCTCTCTATATTTAATTATTACATCTTTCAATTCATTGGTTAAAAATAGTGAGCTCGTGATTCTTTTCATAAGGCAACTCTCTTGAGATCGTTACTTTTTTTTTATAATTAAAATTTAGGGTTTATCTGCTTTTAAACTCATATTTAATTATTGAATTGAGACAAATTTTAATATATGTAAAAATTTAAATAATATATTTAATACGTCTTTCAATTCATTAGTTAAAAATAGAGCATTACTCAATTGAAAAGTGCAATCACTATTCACCCACAAAATAAAAAAGAAATGTTGATGTTATTTTTTACTAAGGACAGTGGAAGTGTGATTTTATAAATTCTCGTGGGAAACATCATTAATTTAGAGAATTACGGGCTCGGTATGTATATATTTTATTCTTACTAAGACGACAGCGTTTTCAGCACCAACTGCTGTAGTAGTCCTTCACTACAAACTGAACTCACTGCTCGGCCTAGCCAAAGGCCCAAAACTAAGAACACCTCTCTCTCTCTCTCTCTCCCCAAATGTCGATGATGAATCTTCTTCTCAGGAACACAATCAATTCGAACCGTTCGATTCAAGTTGGTCTTCCAAATCAAGGCCTCTCGTTGCTTCTTCGTGACTCGCGGAGACATTTCTCGACGACCGAAGCTGAAGTTGAACAGCCAACTCAGGACCCTCCTACTAATCAATTTATTCAACCCGTAAACAAAGGTCCTCACAGATCTCTAACATCTAAACCTTCATTTTCAGATTTCTGTTCTAATTTATCTGTATTATTGCCTGTTAATTTTGCATTAGGGTTTAGGGTTTATATGCTTATCATTTCTGTCATATTCTTAATTAATTGAAAACAATATTTGTATTGAATCGATTGATTATTCAACTGTCCATTATTAGCTTCATATGTTGATAAGTTGTTTGGAGTCTGATTAGAACTTTTTGTTTAAAAAGAAATTTTCAGAACTTGGGATGATTTTATTCTAACATATGTATTTGTGCTTTCTCTCTCTGGGTTATGTCAGGTTTTGTTTATGGAAAATTGTTTGACACAATGCATGCGACAAAGGGCTATATTCTCAATTTGCTCGAAGGGGAGTTGACCCGGGATGATATTAAAGTTGACTACAATAGATCATTTACGCCAAATGGAATGTAAATGTTCTCCTTGCGATGCATTTGGGGGTGTGTGTATATATATATATATATATTATTTCTCTAATCTAAATATGCATTGAGCAGTGTCAACTCTTCAACTGAAACGTTCTGGATCTACTTTTCCTGGAAGTAGACAGATAACATGGAGTTGAGATTAAATATGTTTCCCTTCTAGTAACATATAATTAGTTTATGCATTAAATTGCTTCTATCATTCAAATACATATGTATATATATATATTATATTGATACATATTTATATTTGTCGACATATGGTCTAGAATGGTTTCTTCCCATGCTCATAGTGATATTTTATTATTTATTGGGTGGTTGTGACCAGATTGATTCAATTCCATTCTCATTCTGCCTTTGAATATGCTCGCAAGGCGATTGCTAGGAAAGGTCGCTTGTTTAGATTGGAGAGGGTACGTCAAGAATGCATTTGCCATGATGTGGTATTTTATTTTTTCTTGTTCTGCAAAAGTTCATGTGTTCATAACCTTGATTTCTTTGATACCAGGTCAATCCCACCCGGTGGGATCTTCTTGCAAGTTATGATGGAAAAGCCGTAAGTAGAAGCTTTGCTTTTAAACTTCATTCTGTAGTTGAACTTTGGAACTTGGCATCTTGACATATTGCTTCTTCTAAGTTTTGATCATCTTGGTATTGAATTACTCGAGCAATATAAAATGACTTGTTATTCAAAGTACAATTTGGTTTGTTTGGGATCTAAAGTAAGCCACAGGACAAGGAGTTTGGTGCATTAACCGAAATTGAGAAAATCATATTTGAAAACATACATGAATCCTGGTTTATATGAAATATGTTGATGAAAGAATTAAAATAAGCTAATATGTTTCGTTTTTGTAGCCACATATATGAATTTGTTAAATTTTATTTATTACTTGAGAAATTTTGTAAATCACTTTTAGTACACATATTTCTAACCTTGTGACATTAAGTTTGGACTTTTAATAAAAATTTGAACTTTTATCATACGCGTTGTTAAGTTTGGACTTTTGAACAAGATTCTCCAGAACTATAATCGTTTTTAAAAAAATAAAATTGTCAAAAAGCCCGATCAAATGACTTTGTTAATGTATTAGGGAGTAAAAACCATTTTACATTTTTTTTTTTTAGTTGGTACTCACACACACATGTTTGGCTTGAACCCCTGACCTCCTTTTGGGAAGTAAGGGCCTAAAACCGCTAGGCCTCTGTCCCGTTGGTAAAAACATTTTACAATTCCTGAGTATTCCATGTCTTTTTCCTTTTTTGAAGTTTAAACCTAAAAATTGTAATGAGATTCTAATACCAGCGGAGTCTTTCATAGATTCTGCGAATAGTATATGTTATCTATAAATTTTTATAAAGTTGCTAACATTATATGATGACACTACTATTCTCCGGTAACTGAGAATCGTCACAACAAAGCCATTAATTGCAGGAATTTTTTTTTAACGAATAACTGGATTTTATGTGATTCTTGACACGTTAGAGTTTGAGGGCAAGGGAGGCAAGTTTTTTTAGGGTCAAACGGATATGTAGAATATGTGGTTGAAGTAGCTGGAGGAAAAGCTTCTGGTTGGAACGTTATTTGTTGAACATCTTTTTGGCAATTGTAATCTTCCGGTTTTAACGTTGTAACTGTAGTACTTCCATGTGATATTTGTTAAGTGACATATCTAAACTGAGATTATTTAACCTTTGCCTTTTCAGGTGTTACTGCAAGGAATTCCTCGCAATGCACTGCCTGATGATGTAGAGCGTTTCCTTTCTGGTTGCTTTTATGATGCATCTACATTGCAGTTTCAAACCAGGTTGATGCTGAATAGTTTGCCCAGAAGTTAGAACTTCCATTCCCCCCCACTCGTGACCCTTTTTACCTAAAGTAAATTTTTTGAATTGCAGGCAGGTGCAGGGACTCACAGACCCCATTAGGTTTGCAGTTGTACGTTTCCGCACACAGACCGAGGCGATGCATTGCTTCATTACGAAGAACAGAGGCTTCTGTCTCAACAGTCAAATCTTGCTGTGTGTTCTCCAGTAAACCACCCGCCCCCATCCCCCTTTTTTTTCCTCTGTTAAAACTTCCCGGATTCTATTTATCTGGCACTGTTTTGAGCTTGGGATTTTAAATGAGATCAATTCCTTACCTCAACATAATCTACTTTGATTTTTCCTGTCATATGAGGGGGAAATTGTGTTGTCTGATGTTTATCTTTGATGTTTCTAATTGTTCACCCTCGAGTTCTATAAGAGATGAAACTAATCAGCTTACAGTCTAGGAATGAGGGTGTTTTCTTTGCTGAGTTCTTTAATTTCAGCTTAGGTTTCTATTCTCTCAAAACACTTAAATTTTTTTTAAAAAAAATATCAAAAAAATCTTTATTTGTCTATTTATTTGTGGTGGCAAATATCGTATTGCTTAGCCTTTTCAATCTTCCACTTTGGAAGGTAGGAGAGGTTATAACTGGGTTACGAGACTTGGTAGTTTGTAATTAAGTATTAACTCTTAAAATTCAGTTATAACCCTTTATTTCATACAAACAGATTTGAAAGAGGAAAATAATTTCAAAGGGTATATATTTTTAGGTGTTTTAAGCTGTTTGTGGTTCATTATGTTTTTAAAGAACTTGACTGAAGCAGATTTATTCATTCAAAATTATTATTATTATTTTCATAACTTGAATTCTGCTTCTGGAGTTTCATATCATATCCAAGCCCTTGCTTTGATATATCGTACGCCTAGGTCCTCACTAGCATTTTGATTTTGCCCAGCCAGTGGCGGCCAAATCTGTATGAAAATCATTTTGCATGTATGATTAATTAAAATCTTAGTATTGATTTTTACTTTATTTTGGGTACAACAACATTATATTGGGTTCCATTGCAAACAAAATTTACGCCACAATATGGTTTATTTGTGTACGTTATTAAGAGTAGTCAAAGGGATTTATTTTCTTAAAAGATTTGGGAATAGGCCGAATCAAGTAATTAAAGTCAATATATTTGCAAAACAATGAGGAGGAGGTAGTTGCATTGATCCTCGTGTATGCACGCAGCCTTGTCTCTATGTGGTAGGAAAGGTCAAGTTGAATTGATTCAATGTTTGGTCCGTCTAGAATCCCTTATTGGTGCAATTGAGTAATGCCCCTTTATATAATTAATATGGGCTAATTTCATAAAATTCTTACTATTTTTAAATTTTGATTATAAACCTTTAATCTGTTTAAAAAAATCACTTGCACTTTAAAAAGTGATCAAATTACCCCAATATATATGGTCGTTCACCTGGCGTTGAAATGACAAATTTAAACTTACTATTTAATGTTAAATTTAAAATTAAAAATAATTTTTTTAAATTACAAAAATACCCTTTAATTATCTTCTTCAATCCATCTCCCCTCAAACTCACCCCTCTTTCTAAATTATTTTTATAATTTAAAAAATAATAATTTTTAGTTTTAAATTTAACATCAAATAATAAGATTAAATTTGTCATTTCACAGTCGAGTTAATGGGTCGGACACGGATAGTGGGACAATTTGATCACTTTTAAAAGTGTGTAGAATTTTTTGAAACAAATTAGGAGTTTATGATCAAAATTTGAAAATAATGGGAATTTTATAGAATTTACCCAATTAATATATGATATTTTTGGGGGCTTTACTCAACTTCTTGGAATTGTCTCTATTTACAATAAATGCAATTCAGAAAAGAAAATTAAATCAAAAGTAGAGTATGGGTTAATATAGACAAAGCATAGTAAAGTCTAAATAAATTTTGGGCAAACAAGATTAATTGGAGCAAATGGACTTTGAGTAATTTATGGAATAAAAGAGAAGTGTTATGGACAATCACTGGAGAGTGAAACCAGTAATTCTGCCATTAATTACTTAGTACATGGGCAAGAATGAGCAAAAAAAAAAAATTTCCCCCATACTCCAACTTGGCATCATCATCTATGCTGAAATGCGGCACTGTTTTCAATACATATGTCAAACCCATGTATTGGAAACGTGGGAATAAATGTTGTTTGGAATCCATCCATTATATACTCTCCATTAATTGGAAACACTCATGGCGGTAGAGCTCCAGAAACACATCAACCTGAGATTCCTGATTGCTACCACACGACACCACCATCTTTCAGAGGCATTTTCTCGAACAACTTATATGCATCGTCTGCACAAGCTTTTACCAATGTAACAACACTTGCCCAGAAAATCCTTCACTCAATTTGGACAAGCGGAGTCATCAAGAACGCGTTGTGCCCAAATTTGGGGTTGCATTTGTTCAATGAGGCCAACAAAGATGGAGACTAACGGTAACATTTTACCTTGGATATATATATATATATATAAAAGATTCCTGGACGGAGAGAAGGTTACAATACCCACGGCTCTTTTGCATAATCCTCCTAATTATTAGATGGTCCAAGTCCATTTGAGATTTCTTTGTAATCCCCAATTTCTCGATTTCATGATTGTGCATTGAGCGGGAGTGGAGACTCCCCATTTCTCATGTATCAAGGCAAATTGAGTAGTGGATTGGGCGAATAAGATTTAGCAGCCTTATTGTGCTTGGCAAAACAGTCTGGTTTCCGAACTCTGAATTCCTCCAGGTCATACCAGACCAATTATAAGTACAAGAGTATGGAGTATGACCGCATATGTTATTATATCACCAATTAAATCTTGTTATATAAACACCTGAAGTCCACTTAAATTTTAGTGGTATTTGATATGACTACAATTAAAAGGAACATCTATATTTATGCATGTGTCAAGATGTGCTTGAGTGAGTCGGTATGACTATAGGAAACATTTACTAATAAATTAGTGATATAACTGTAATATTGATGCTTGTTCCATGAAGACGGTGTCGGAAGGTGGTCTTTTTTGTGATACAAGGCTGATTTTTGTCATTAAGCCCGAAATCAATGGCCCATTGTGGAAAAAAAAAAGAAATGAAAAAAAGTCAATTTACTATTCTATTGGCATATCTTGTAGAACACCAAAGTAGTTAATACGGTATAGATTATTAACGGTCATATTATAAAAGTGCTTGTGTCATTGATGGCTCATTCTGAAACCATTTCAGTTCTTTAATTTCAGAAAGAAACCGCATTGATTTTAACTCTCTTCTCTCTCTCTCTCCCATTACCATTTGGTGGTGTTTGTATCTTTCACTGTCTTTGTATTTTTCTACATCTCAATTAGCCGGCCTTTGCAATACAAGAAGTTTCAACTCCATTTCACTCTCTCTGATGCTCTCTATTGGCCGAATATTAGTTTGTTTTCTCAAAAAAGAAATCGCATTCATTTGTTTGTTCTCTAAAAATATTATTTAGTAGTGTTCTAAAGTTGATGACCAAACCCAGTACTCACTCAGCGACTTTCCTTCTCCATTTTTATATTTGTTAATTCACCTCCACTGATTATCTTATTCTATGGCTAGTGACAAAACCAAAGTTTTCACAGCAGAATTATCTGGCACTGACCCTATATCATATTACATAGAATTTGGTTTATGCTTGATAGTTTTTTTTCCGTTCTTTTCTTTCTTTCTTCTTCTTGTTTTGAATCATTAAGTTCTTGTTTTCTTTCCTTGATAAGGCAAAAGGGGTTTGTGGAACACCAGTTATGGATAATTCTGAGTCACATCAACAAAAGAGGGGAAGTTTGATCCCGCTTTCGCCCTTCCAAACTCCAAAGTTGATGAGTGAAAAGTCCAATAGAGATTCAAGATCAAGCAATGGAAACTCAAGCAACAAGCATGATAAAGATAAAGGGGTGAATGTCCAGGTTATACTGCGTTGCAGGTGAGAAAGTACTAATTTCATTACGCTCTTCTTGTTCTGGAGGTGATTTTGAGAGAATGTGTTATTATGATGATTGTTGTGTTCTAGGCCGTTGAGTGAGGATGAGATGAGGGTGAAAACGCCTGTGGTGATCACTTGTAATGAAAAATGTGAAGTGATTGTAGCGCAAAGCACAGCTCATAAGCAAATAAATAGGACCTTTGTCTTTGACAAGGTTTGGTTCTTAATTTTGTTACTTTATTTGAATTTTTTCTTGGTACATTGAATTTGGTAGAGTTAAGTAGAGCATTTGTTTTCCTTTAGTGATCATCATTGCCGGTTTAGGTATTTGGTCCGACATCCCAACAGAAAGACTTGTACGATGAAGCTGTTGGTCCTATTGTCAACGAAGCTCTTGAGGGCTACAATTGCACCATTTTTGCATATGGTCAGACAGGAAGTGGAAAAACTTACACAATGGAAGGAGATGGAAGCAAACATAAGGTTTACTACTGTTTATATAAGTGAATGAGCTTCTTATGCAATACTGTATGCTTTCAGTGCATTAATCTTGGAATTTTTCTGCTTAGACCCTTTTTATTTTTTCTTGTTTTTGTAGAATGGAGAATTTCATAAAGATGCAGGGGTTATTCCAAGAGCTGTCCAGCAAATTTTTGGTACTCTTGAAGCTCAAAATGCTGAGTATAGCATGAAAGTTACGTTTTTGGAGCTTTACAGTGAAGAAATAGCAGATCTTTTGGGCCCAGACGACAAGTCAAAGAAGCCAATAGCTCTAATGGAAGATGGAAAAGGGGCTGTTTTTGTAAGAGGCCTAGAAGAGGAGATAGTTTGCACAGCAGATGAAATATTTGAAATTTTGGCGAAAGGGTCTGCGAAAAAGCATACTGGAGAGACTCTTCTCAACAAACAAACTAACCGTTCTCACTCAATATTTTCCATCACAATTCACATTAAGGAGTGTACTCCAGAGGGGATAGAGCTCATCAAGTGCGGAAAACTGAATCTTGTTGACCTTGCTGGTTCTGAGAATATATTAAGGTCAGGTGCAATAGAGGTATAGTACAAGAAAGTCCGAAGTAATTTCTTCTACTTTAGAACATTAGAATTTCTTATTACATATATTGCCATACCATCTTCTGTTATGGAATGGACTCAGAGGGTCTTGCTTGTCGAGGTTTAAAATATGGCCAATAATCATATGTAGCTAGTTCTCTCAAAGGAATAAGTACTACACTAGGGAATTTGACATCCAAGAAATACTTATATGCCAGGGAAGAGCAAGGGAAGCTGGGGAGATCAATAAAAGCTTGCTTACTCTCGGTCGTGTCATTAATGCACTAGTTGAGCAGTCCAGGCATGTTCCATACAGGTATGACTTTACTTCGGAAAAATTACTGGGCTACAAGATGTAATGCTATATCAAGGATGCACGATAAAATTTGTAAGATACTATGTGGCATATCAGGGCTAGCAAATTAACAAGGTTATTGAGGGATTCATTAGGGGGTAAAACAAAAACATGCATGATTGCCACAATATCACCATCCATGCATTGCTTGGAAGAGACACTCAGCACTCTAGATTATGCATACCGTGCTAAAAACATCAAGAACAGACCAGAGGTTGGGAATCTGGATTTCTTTTTGTTCATGCCATTCTTCAGCTTTCCTTTGAACATATTCTCTGTGCCTGCCGTGACAGTTTCAGCTTGCTACAACTTCTAGGTTAACCAAAAGGTGATAAAATCTGCACTACTCAAAGACCTGTATATGGAGATAGACCATCTTAAGCGAGGTATTTTAGTGCGTCAACCTTGACATTTTATGAGCTTAGTACTTCATTATTTATAAAGAGAAATGGGTGCTGAAAAGTTCCAACACTTTATTATACTTAGTATCTGATAAATATGATATTATGCTATATTTTTCTGCCTTTTACCAGAGTTACACGCCACAAGAGAGAAGAATGGCATCTATATACCACGGGAAAGTTACCTGAATGATGAAGCTGTGAAGAAGGTCGAAATCCCAACCATTTAGTTTGATTAACTTGCTCTTATTTCACATGACAACAATGTAGAGTTTTGTAATAAAATAGGCATTAACGCTTGTATGTGCCCTTATGTAGGCAATGGCTGAGAAAATAGAGCGCGTGGAACTTGATTCAAGGTTTAAGGACAAGGTATGTATCACTCATTAGGGAATTTTACAGATCCAAAGAATCTTCCTTCAAGAATCTCTGCATAGAGGCTTGACAAAAATTTGTATGTTGGGAGCAGCAAATGATGGAGCTTCAGGGGCTCTTCATTTATCAGCAACAATTGACTGCAGAATTAAAAGAAGAACTTGCAAGGACCCGGGTATTTGTGTAATTGATGGTTCAACTTCTCAATTTTCTTGGATTACACAGTGCCCTTCTTTGTTTTGCATCACCACAAGGGGCTAAAGTCTCTATATTATGCTTTTGACTGCAGGGAGAACTTGAGCACAATGAAAATGCTTTATTTGATATAGAAGATAGATGTAGACAAGCAAATGAAACAATTAAAGAACAGGAATACTTAATTTTTAATCTGCTTGGATCTGGTAAGTAAAGAGCCATAAATTTTCTCTTCTTCTTTTTTTTTTTTTTATTGGCAAAATTTTCTACTACCAATGGTACCAATATAGTGGTTGTAAATTAATCTGTTTATTACTAAAATAATGTGAAATGTTTTCTTGGGGGAGAAATTTTATGAAAATAGCTTGACCGTCAATTTAGAAAATCTTTCCATATCTCTCCTTTTATTATTTTTTAGTATTACAGTGTTCTTGGTTTTCTCTATACTACAAGATAGGTCTCAGATTGTGATATCATTGTTATAATTTAGAGAAAGCACTTACCGAACGAGCATTTAAGCTTCGAGACGAGCTGGAGACTGCAGCATCAGAGGTGTCTGGCTTGTTCGCCAATATTGGTTAGTCTTCTTCTTATAAGGAGTTGACCATGTCACTGATGTCAATGGTATTATGTTTCGAAGCTTGAGGCATTTACATTGCTGTTTATGTTTCTGTAAACAGAACAGAAGAATAAAATAGAAGACAGGAACGAAATTCTTATCCAGAATTTTCACACACAATTAGCTCAGCAGCTGCAAGTTTTGCACAAAACTTTTGCACATTCTATGGCACAACATGAGCACCAACTGAAAGTAATCGAAGCTAATATACAATCCTTTACATCCACAAAGGCCAGGGTAAAATCTAAATGCTTCGTTCATGCATGCTCCTGTATTGGCAATTAGATCTCCCATCTTTTGGTCTGTGTGTAGGCAACCAGAGAACTTCAAGTAAAGCTCAAAAAGTTGAAAGACATGTATAGCTCTGGAATTAAATCTTTGGATGAGCTAGCTGGAGGAGTAGGTGCAAATTTTGAGTTAGCTTTTGGTAATATAAATTCAGTAGTATCAAGTCATTCTTCTTCCATTGTGGACGTGAGTATTGCTTCCCTTTGGCGGATCTTCAACTATTTGTCATCTACTTATTGCTGATTTTCACCGACACTTCTATGCAGCTTTTCGGAGAACTTTCTTCAGAGATTGATGCCGTACTTGATGATCTGAAAGGAAACCTTAATAATCAAAAGGAAGAAATAGCTGCATTTGCAGAGCAGCAGCATGAGGTATGCAGCTGGTAGTTATAATTTCATCAGTTGCAAATTAAATTGTTTATAACTTTGCGTCATTTTCCCCCTTTTCTTATTATATTTCTTCCTTTGGTACACCAGAGTCACTCCAGAACGTTGCAGACAACTCAGTCTATTTCTAGAGTTGCAGTGAATTTTTTCAAGACTTTAAGCATGTATGCTTCCAAATTGACACTAATGGCGGAGGAAGCACAAACAATGAGTGACCAGAAATTATGTTCACTTGAAAAGCAGTTTGAGGTAGTTATTTTATCGTACATTAAGCGTCCTTCTACAAGATACAAACATGTTTTTTTATTTTATTTTTATTTTTTATGGTTTTTGTTGCTTCTGTAGGAGCATGCTGCTAATGAAGAGAGGCAGTTGTTAGAGAGAGTGGCAGAGCTGTTAGCAAGTTCAAATGCAAGGACAAAAAAGCTGGTATGCACCTATTAAAACTGAAATACTTTACCTTAATACTAATAAACTGCTATTTCCTGGGGAGTGAATGACGAATTGATTGAACTCGCTAAAATAAAATGCAACATTAGTGTTACTCTTATTTAGTTCTACAGTTTGCATTTCTTTCAACCTAAGGTCACTAGCCCCCAAGATCTTTGTATCTCTATAAGTTAAAGATAGGTTAATTGTGGAATCTTGTTATTTGCAAGTAAATTTTAGTTTAAATTATTTCTCTAATAAGTAATGATAGGGGATCCGAAAAGGAATCATCGAATTAGTATCGAATTTGACGTGGTTGGTCATTCTTATCACGTGTTAAACAATTATTTTTGGAAACTGTTTCAGTAGATGAGGTGGACAAAAACACGTCAGATTTGATACTTATTCGGGATTATTTCATCGGTCACCCTATCATTATTCTTCTCTAATAAAATAGAACAACAATATGTTATCAGAGTTCCAGTCATACTTTTGCATCCTATTTATCACTAGAATATTGTTTTATTTCACTTATTAATGCATATATTTATAAATTTCCATGTTAAGCAGCAAGCAGTAATTATTGAGCTTGAAGTTGGTTTAATTTCTTTGAAGAAAATTAAAATTCTTTCCGTTTTCTAAGAATATATGTATATGTTGTATTTTAGGTTCAAGCGAAAATGGATTGCCTTAGAGAAAGTGCCTCAAGTAGAACCAGCAAGCTACAGCAGGAAATGTCAAACATGCAAGATTTGACTTCTTCTGTCCAAGAAGAATGGACAAGTTATATGGGAAAAACAGAGGCTCAATATATCGAGGACTCTATTGCACTCGAAATTCAGAAGGTTGGCTTTGTAGAAGACATCAGACACTGGTAAAGGCGACTTCCTGACAATGATTACGATGATTTAATAATATGTAACGCCGCTCTATTTGCTTCACTTTTCAAAAAAATAAATAAATAAATAAATGATGCCTGAGCATATCATTGAATGTGTTTGATCCCTGATATTTTACTGATATAATGTGCAGTATGACAAAGGCGAGAATGGTTGCAGAAAAATGGCAGAATGCTGAAGAATCTATTCTTGGTCTACAAAGAAGAAATGTTAACTCAGTGGATTCAACCATCCAGTAAGTTTATCTTTTGAGATTAATCCTTTTTTTTTTCTTTTTTTTTTAAGATATGATTTTATTTATTTATTTATTTTTAATTCTCCTGGATTTGTTTACTTAGGAGTGCCAAGGAAGATAATCAGATGATCCGAGATCAGTTTTCTTCTATTGCCTTGTCAATGCTTGAAGAAGCAGATTCTACACACACGAGTTTTCTTTCTTCCATTCAGTGTAAGTTCATTTTCACATAGAAATGGATTTGCAATGGTGCTGTCAATGGAGAATCTAGAAGCCATCCATGCCAGTTTTTTATTTTTAAATTATTATTATTATTACAAGAAATGACTCTTTTGCAGATTCACTGAAACTTGATAGCGACAATCATGCAGAAATTATTTCCCTTCTTGCACCTTGTTATAAGGATACGAGAGAAATGAAAACTGCTCACTCCCACAAAATCCTCGAGATCACAGAGAATGCAGGGAAATGTCTGATAGATGAATTCATGGTAAGAGAACCAGGAACTGGGTGGGTGTTTCCGCTGTCACATACAATTTCTGTTACACACAGTAGGCGAATCAAATATGATGCTCCCATATTTGCAAATTGTAACGATGAAAACATCATTGGTTGTGGGAAAAAAATGAAGTCATCATATTTCCTTCCCAGTATCACTCTTTTCACTTTTGATCAAATATTCATCCATATGTATTCTGTTTCTAACAATCAGGTGGATAAGCCTTCGTGCTCAACTCCAAGGAAGAGACTATTTGATTTACCAAGCACGAAATCCATCGAAGATCTCAGAACTCCCTCATTTGAGGAGTTGTTAAGTCATTCCAGGCAGCTGGATCAGTAAAGCAAGAAAATGGAGATGTAGATAAATCCCCAAGGGCATATGAGATTGCAGCATGGTGGGTCAGTGAAAGCTCAAGTAGAAAGCAAGCAACAGCTTGTAATAGCTCTTAGAATTTTTTATTTTTATTTGTAAATTTTTTGTGAGTAAAATAGTGTGACAGTGAGCTGCAATGGATTAAGCAGTTATAATCTATTCAGTTTTTTCCCCCCCCCCCCCCCCCCCCCCCTTTGTCTGGAGATCTGAATTTTGGGATATATAAATTTTGTAACTTCTTGTGTGGAAGTAAGACTCTGCTTGTAATGAACTAATCGAACAAGTTCAGGTGACTTAATGAAGAATACCTCATTTCTTACTCATCTACAAGGCGCCATACATACGATGGATATTGCTTGGTTTAAGGCAAAACTGAAATTACTCCTGAGCTACCAATGAAATTTTCTGTAGATCTTTAATGTCAAAAATCAGAAATACTGTCTATCATGACATCTTGGGTTGAGCTAAATCCTTGATTACTGTTTCTCGAAGATGTTAGAACCTGCTGGAAAATCAGAAGCATAGGTTTATTTTTTAGTTTTCAAGAGAAATTCAAACCACATCAACAAAGGCCTGTTCATACAAAAAGTATCAAATCAAACCAGACCATGGAGTGTGTGCGCGAACAATATTTCTAACCCAGATCAAAGGTAGATAGATGCACAGAGGAATTGGTTTTCACTTTCCTAACTCAACCATCCGAGTCAGTTTAAATTGTTTAACGTCCAGGAGCTCGGCCTTCCTGGCTGGAATTGACATTAACCAACAGATGAGAGGTTTACATGATGTCTGCAAATTTGATTACTACTGCTTAAACAAAAACTTGCTCGCCGTGTGATCCTTTAGTTTAAAGCTTCTACGGTCTATAAATTTAAATATGTAATGTAAAAGTTCATGTGGTTCTGAATCTTCTGATAGCTGTCTACAGTCGGCTATTGCAATTAGAAAAATCAAAATTATTTTTTCAAAAGACAATAAATATCAGTAAGAGTTTCCTGATCAACTAGCATGTACAATGTCGTTCAGATATCTACTACAGTCAGCAGTGACACTTGCAATAAGGAAACTCTAAATTATATTTCAAAAGACAGTAAAATTTAGGAATACCTGGACCACTCTTCAAAATAAGCTGGCACTTAAAAGAGACCCGTGAACCTTCTTCATCTATACATTGAATTCTCTCATTTTCCTTCATGCACATGCCAACTTGTCTAAAGCCAGATTGATGTTCCAGTGTTTTCCCCTATTGCTTATATCTCAATCTAGAAGAGGTACCGTCATTCTCGAACTCTTCTTCTTCCCTTTCTCCATGTAAATAAACCCACAAGTGCCTGTCTTTATCAAATTGTACACAAGGATCACGTTCATAGTGCAAGCGGTCCAAAGCTCCACTCACAACTTGCTTAACTTGTAATTCAGTAACGTCTTCCACTATATGCTGTGAGTCTCTTACAAGAGTGCAAACATCAGCTCTGGTACCAATACTTCCAGGCAATCTAGCAGCTGCATCTCTCACAAGACACAGAACGGTAACCTGGGGTGGCCGATTATGTTTAAGCATGAAATGATCTCGGGCCCTTGCTGATGGCTTACCACTGCACCTTCTCAGAGGAGCAACCGCAGATTTCCTACCATCAAGCGCTGTATAACAGAAGGCACTGTCAGGAATCAAGTACCTCAAAGTTTCCTCTCTACGGAAATAAGCCTTGACTTCGTCAGAGCTTGGTCTAATAGTGCCGAGACTCCTTTGAACTCTCACGCCATTAAATCTTTCTGTCGCATTGGAGGGTTGCATCAATATTATAGGTGGTGCAGGGAGACTTCCAATTTGTTGAAGCGCCTCTTGCCTATTTTTCAGCCAGTTAGCAAAGCAATCAACCAACTTCACAAGAGTTCTCTGAGGAAGGCCCCACGCTTCAGGAGACGACTCTTCCTCAATATGACTGTCAGGTGACAAATTTGAAGAAACTGGGCCGATCCAGCACCAACTTTTGCTGGACTTTTCATACATTGCAAGAGCCTTCCAACCCTTTACTCCTAGAGGTGCTGCTCTAGAAGAAAAAATCTTGAGAACTCCCCTGACTAAATCTAGCAGTGGCTCCTGGGTTTCAAGAATACTATAGTCTCCAGGTTTTGATCTCACACGCTGCAAGATTTCATGAATAGTGAGATAAGACAAGCTCTTTTCTTTCGTTTGTTCTGAATTCAAAACACCCCGTTTTTCACGAGAATGAAACTCAGTGACATCTTCAGGACTTCTCTTTCGAATACCCTCACATTGGCTTCGTCTTCTTTTGCCCTCTCCAATATGCTTACCAATTGCTAAAGCATATTTCTCTGCATGCGGAGTGACCAGTGCCATGCGAACAGCAGAAAGAAGATGTATAATGGAGAATGAGAAACCAGTATGAAGAGTGGGAGTGAAAAAAGTAACCTCCTGCTGCTTTGCTGATCTTATAACAGGCTCCACATCATCAATGGCTGTCCTTTGTGAAAGAAGCATACCATAAATTAAGCCACTATCTAAAGAACCAGTTTCAGGATCCTCTTTATGTGAAGGCAGTTTCTTTTTCAATGAAGTAGGTACATTGATCAACTTTTTGCATCTAGACTTTGAATGATCATATTCTTCCAGTCCATCCAAGTATGTTGTATCCGCTTTTGCTTTCCGCTTCTTTGTCACCATCGTGCTCTCTGAAAATTTTGCGCCTAATCTGTCATGACCATCACTTGTACAAGATTCAATATTTTGCCAACCTTTTCGGCCCAATCTACTTGTCAGTCCTCGACTATCTGACAATCCATGCATTTCACGCGAATCAAACCGCTCTTCTGCCACATGGAAATAGAACTTCCTACATTTTTTTGACTTGGGAGATGAAAAGTTATTCTCAACTTTCCTACTCTTCTCTTTTATGTCCATATGTGTGGTCTTTGATAATGAAAATTTTAACTTTTCACCAGTTACCTTCTTAATTTTTCCATGTCTCCTAAATCTGTTAGCATCCTGTCTATTATCATCAGCCAATAAAGTTGTTGGCAACTCACCGTCTGGCATCTGAAAAGCACCATAGTTTCTTCTAGAAGAAGCCATATAATCCTTAGGAAAATATGAAACACCGTTGGCAAGTTGTACCAAAACAAGGGCTGCATCTAAATCTCTCTGGTCAAGCATTTCACATGCCGGTTTTTCTACACAATGCTTTCCCCTTATCTGCGCCACTTGTCTATCCTGATAATAAAGAGCCACGAAGGAACCACGAGTTATATATTGAATCAAATACACTTGTATCAGGGAGATAATTCCAAAAGGTTCATTCACAACAGGTTCTTTTGGCAAATGCCAAATGATTGCCAGGTAATCTTTTCAAAATTGAAATTAATAATAACTTTCATGATTAAAGCAATTTTCAGTTTTGAGAAATAAGAGGCCATTCTAACCACTATTTTAGAGTTGAATTTAGCTTTTACGATCAAAGCTACCTTTACAGATATGAATCCAGTACAACGATTTTAAAAGGTCACTTGCAAAATGCATGTGAGCAGAATACCTAGCATACTACCATTGTGCTTTTGCCCTTTGAATAATGCAAGCCATTTTTAATTTGAATGATATTTTTTTCTTTAACGTCATCGCTCCAAAAATGAGAAATGACAATAACAGTAGCATGGCAAATGGCAATCAATAAAGTTTCAGTAACAAAATGTCTATAGGAAGTGAGTCCTCGTACTCACATGAGTATCAGCCGGTTATCTAAGAACTGGCTGATTCCAAATGCGAACGACCGTTATGGCTCACAGCCGGCCGGTTCAACTCAATATCTTAATTTTCAATTTTTTTTTTTTCTTCCAAAGACAAAGATGCTTTCTTCTTATAACTCAGCATCCTTCACTAATTTTTCAAAGACTTCCGATGTGGGAATAGAATATCACATTGTATTCTTAAGCCTCTACATGTTGCTGTTTATAAGTACTGATTCCATATCTACTCATGTACATCCTTCCGATATGGGAGCAAGGTCTATGCAGTAACATATATTTTATGTATTCCATTGATCTATTCTAATAAAGACACGCATGTATACAGCTTAATGCGATATTTTAAAATAATTTTTTTCCCATACAAGTTTCAAAATCAACCTTCTAAAGCAAGGTGCTTTTAAAGACGATATATATTATTCCGAAATTAAAATTAGCAAAGACATGCATGATTAATGTCTGCTAGATGATATTAGGGTTAGGGTTTTACCATAATTTCCATGTGCCGTCTCACCTACCCATAGTTATCATGTATAGGTTTACTTTGGCAACACTCAGACACCTACCCCACATCCTCCCCTATATAAACCCTTGTATAATGGTATTCTTGGATCATTCAACTCAATCAAATATATATTTCTTTATATTCTAATATGGTATCAGAGCTAGGTTTACTCCTTTTTCTTCTTTTTTAATTTTTGTTGTTTAAGTTCTAGGTGGTATTCCAATAATCCATCAACCACACATATTATGTTCAGTGTCAAAAACAGGTCCTCCAAAAGTCCTTTCGCTGTTCTGATCATATCAAGCGACAGCTTACTGTCCCGAAGCCACCAGAAACAGCTGGAAAGGAGCTTGCATGTGCCGCCACAAGCATTGGCATTAGTTGTGGTTCTTATTCTTAATTGGGTCAAAAATACTTGCACCACATTGTTCAACCATACATGTGGAACTTAACTTGATTTCTTCCGTTCAGGTTTATGGCCTTGACCATACATGTGGGAAATAACAAATACTCCACTGATATGCAACTTTTTATAACATAACTTAACAAAGATGATGTTTTTAGTGAAAATCTGTAATTTTTATTGAACTAAGTTGCATACATGTGGGAAATATGAAACACCATGTAATTTTTATTGAATTATGTTTCAGGGTCAATGTCATAAAACTGAATGGAAGAAATGAAGTTAAGTTCCACATGTACGGTCGAACAACGTGGTGTAAGAAGTTTCGACCTAAGAATAAGAACCACAACTAATGCCAATGCTTGAAATTAATCATGCATGTCTTTGCTAATTTCAATTTTGGAATAATATATAGCTGTCTTTAAAGCACCTTGCTTTAGAAGGTTGATTTTGACACTAGTATGGAAAAAAAAAAAAATTTAAATATCACATTAAGTTGTATACATGCTTGTCTTTATGAGAGTGGATCAGTGGAATACATAACAGATATGTTACTGCATAGACCTTGTTACCACATCGGAAGGATGTTATAAGAGTAGATATGGAAGCAGTAATTATAAAGAGCAACATGTTGAGGCTTAAGAATACAATGTAATGTAATTTAGGCCTTATGTGCCAGGTTAGAAAAAAATCACGACTACAATAACCGATTCCGTTACGTTATGCAGTTGCAGGGCCGATTCCGTTACATTATACGTAATAACATATTATTAAACATAAGCATGTAGAGGGCTACAAACAGGTGAAGACAAGCAACAAGAAGAGTAATTATTCTTTTCTATAAGAATTTTTTCTTTGCAATCATATCAAATTCAACCTAATAGTTTTACAAGAAATTGACTAACCAAATGTTTCATGGATCCCTCAAACTTCAATGTCATTTTTGAAGTCCGATTGGCACATCATTCTACTTCTGCACATTGAAAAGGGACATCTAACCTTGAACTTGAAGTGAACCTTTCACAATGACCATTGCTGATCAAGTAATTCTGAAACTTCTATCAATGGGACTACATGCAAGAAAAGCCAACTGAAACAATAGAATATAATTCTTGGAATCAGAAAAAGAGTAGCAGCTACTTCTCCCAAAAAAGAAAGGTCATAAAAGCAAATAAATCAAGATTTTAATCATAAATTTCCCACATCTGCTACTTCTCCCAAAAAGAGTTGTAGAAATCCCTTATACTATTCTTTTTCAAAATAGGTTTCATCTTCATCTTGTGTCATGGAAAGAGGAATGGACCCAGATAAATAGGTGAGAAAATATTGGAAGGGCAATAGTGGTTTTCTGTAATTTAAGTGCGGGCAATTTAAAAATTTTGTAGGTACATAATTAAATAATAATAATAATAATTCAGGGGGGCAACATGTCTGTGCCGCCAATATCCAAAGGCATAATGCAGACTTAATTATTCAAATATAAACACAAAACTATACCCAATTTTCATTCATCATAGATACATACTAGCAAGAAACACAAATTAAAAACTACACACAATTTTCATCGATCATACATAGATTATAGATAGAGAGAATAACAATTACATAATTTCGCAAGCAGGACAAGAAATGTAAATTGATCTTAAACATATATACATGGATTATAGATAGAGAGAGAAAACACACACATATACACCTTGGTCAACAAATATTAGCAATCCATATCAGCAATGTACTCGCATTTTTTGACAAAAAAAAATTAGCCTATCTCGAACACAAAGAAAACCCCACTGGACTTTAGTAAAATTCTTTAGCAACTAAAATCAGTCTTTCATTTTTCTCACTTATTATCGGCAAACAATGGATACCGATTAAATATAAATATCAATAAAAGTTCATGAAAATGTTATATATATATATATATATATAGGAATTGATGAAAAAATACATACTCTGAAAATTTGAAGAGTCGTGGTTTAGCATTGACCGTTTGGTTTAGAAAGCGAAATGTTGTGACTGAGAAACCCTTGAGAAAGAGAGAGAGAGTAGAAGCGAACGGGGCGTTTTTATGTATGTATGCGTCAAAGAGAGAAGGAAAGAGGAAGACGACGCTCAAGGAAGACGACGCTGACGTGGAAGAATATGAGTCGTTTGATGGAGACTGACAACGCGTAACGCGAAAAAGGGTCTGCTGATAGGGAGAGTTTAAGGACGAAAAGGGCTTTATTTTTGATACGGAATGTTAAAAAGACGAGTTTGGACTCTGGTATTCTCTATACTTTCTGACGTAGGAGAAAAACTTTTACGGCGTTCATTAAAACACGTGTAGCGTGGACAACGTGTATTACACAGACAGGTTCAGATGCATGAAGAACGTGAAAGATACACATGTCAATTTAACGTTTAAGTCTATCATACTAAGAAAGTATACCAAATTTTTAATTATTATATATAATGGTAGGACTCACTTAACTAGTGATTCAAATATAGTGAGTTACTCAAATATTGGGAAGTGAGTATTGTAGACCTTGTCTAATTTAACATGTCAGAGACTCACTCATTGGAACGAATTTACATTATTCTAATAAGGTTGGAAAAAAAAAAAAAAATTAAACCGCAACCCTCTTAATCGGTTCTGATTAAAAATTAATTTTTTTTTTATTTATAATTTTTCTTTTTCCTTTATTTTATTTTTTGATAATTTTAATTTTCAACAACATTTTTGAAACTATTATTGTTAAATATTGACTTACATTGAAAAAAAATAATTACAAAATTTAACTTAAATTTATTTAAGTTTGAACTATTTTTCTTAAAAATATATATACATCGAGTTGTCTCGAATTTACTCCAACTCGGATGAAAGATGAAAAATTATTACATTATTCTCGAATTATTGGTCTCAATTAATCATGAAGTGGAACATTAATAAAAAGTTATCATTTTTTCTTATCTATGGCTTCATGATTGGTCTACCAATTAAGGAGGAGGCCCGGCCACTTCCCAGTTCATCTCTTCTCGTGCGAGGCCCGCCTTTACTTAGGAATCGGCCCAAGAAAAGGATGAGCCCATCGAAGAATGACTAAGCCCGTATTGTTTCAGAGTCTAGAAGGTCCAAGAGATTATTAAGCCAAAGAGAAACTTCTATAAATAGAAAAATGATAAAAAAAAAATATAAGAGAGGGTCCCTTTACCATTCTGTATAAATGGGTTATTAAAGTGTAATAAATTTACTTTCTGAATATAGAGAGCAATTTATTGCATCTTCAATGTCCGTTTAATAAAAATTAATATAACAATTAATTAATGATAAATATATATATATATATATATATATATATATATATATAACTATAACAATTAATTGAAAATAATTTTAAAAAATAAGTGAGATCAATTTTATAGAATAATGTATTTTTATTTATTGGACATATAGACGCACTAAATATCATCGTCTCAGAAGGGTCAGGGTGTGAACAACGTAAACTAAATCTAAATATATCCTTGTTTTTATTCTTCTATTTTTTCCATGAAGACATTTTGATTGCTTTCAAGCATAAAGGGATGCTCATAACCTAAATTGGTCAATTTGGATGGCAAAATAACGAAACATCATTGACACAAAACGTAACAAAACCTTATTTTAACTACTTAAACTTGATTACGTGATTTTTATTTTTTATTATTTTTTATTATTTTTATACAACAGTCAAATTATAGAAGTTGATTCTCTCAAACAAGGAATGTTCAATTATCTCACAAATATTTGCACTCTAACTCATAACTTTGTACCTCAACATCCGTACTTCATATTGGTACGTCAATTTAGTACCAATAACATTTTTCTTCCAAGCAATGCTCAATTGCACCCTTTATGACTTAGTAGTCCTGAATTATTTTTAATTTTTTTATTTTTGACCGGAGAGTAAATTAGAGAGTTAGAGTAGAGGCACTTAAAATCAACCTTTTGCAACTCGGACAATACTATCACACCTATTTGGCGATGTACTCTGATACATTACAACTCTATGAAGCTTCTTCAAGCACCTACAAAGCCTTGACTCAGGAAATTGGATAAGGGGAATAATATGAAAATTTCATAGTTTTATAATTTAGAAAAGAAAAAAAAAAAAAAATCACTAGTATTAATACTAAAATATATATTTGGAATATACTATAGGTCTGTGGCTCGATATATCTTTCCTGGGTGGTCACAGAGAAGGTGACAACTAGCGTCACGTAGGTCACCATATCTCTTTTCTTGTACGTTTGCATCAACATTTTCCATTATAAAAGTAGTCCTCAATGGATTTCCAAACTACTAATTATCTTCCTTCCCACATTCACCAAAACTTATCTGATTAGTACTAACAGTTGCAGGTTCTCCATGTAACCAAAAGGACGGTGGATGAAAATTCTGATTCCTCCGCTTTGAATGTGTTATCTCATTAATTATATATCTATGTGTGTGTGTGTGTGTGTGTGTGGGGATTTGCATCACAAATTAAAAAGATAAAACTCATGAGTATTGATGCAGAATCCACATGTGATTACTGTAAAAAGTGGTTGCAAAGTGGTTCAAATTAACACTCGCTGTCAAGAAACATGTAAGGCATCCAGGATGGATATCCAATTTTGTTTTTGTTTTTGTTTTTTTTATTATATAAATATGGGTATCCAAACCCTAATTTTGGCTCTTAACTTTAACCCCTTGACCAAACCATGCTACATATGAAATTTATGAAATTCAAATACTACCTAGTAAAAGAAAAATTATATATAAGAAAGAAAAAAAATTGTTTATCCCCTTGACCAAACCATGCTACATGTTTTTTGAAAAAAGAATTGTGTGTATATTCTGAAAAGGTTAGGGTTTTGACATAATTCATCACAGCTTTGACATCATTTTGGCCAATTCCATTCATTTGAAAGAAAAAATAATAATAATAATAATAAGAATGATTTTTTAAATAGTTAAAAAATACTTTATTGTGTTGAGTTTAAGTTATTGTCACTTGAAAGCACTTCCATTGTTGAACATGGCACATTTGATTTCCAACCCAAGGCATGTAATGTAAGCACAACTTGTGAGCTCTGTTGTTATATAATACGGAGTATAAAATTAAAAATATGAATTAATGTCTAATTATTGGTTCAAAAGTATGGGAATGCTTAAGAAATTATAAAAATGTGGTGGGGGAGGGTTTGAGCAATTCCAATCCAACCAGTACAATTGAATGTGAGGCTGCCTGATGGGATGGTGAAGTGCACCAAACCTTAGCCCCACTTTGGCAGTCTCCTCCTTAAAGGCAAAGTATCATGGTCCACTCAAATGATAATCAGGCTTTTTTTTTTTTTTTTTTTTTTTTTTTTAGCATTCTTGGAGAATAATTCAAATCACCATTCAACTATTGAATATTAGTAATATATAAAATAAAGGAATTATTACATATAAATAGTATTAATGATCTATGTTTATTATTTGATGGAGTCTAAGTATCATAGTTTAAAAAAAATGAAGACATAAAAAAAACTATTTACTCTTATTGAGATACTACTTTTAAACATATAAGGATTACTTTTTATGCATGCAGGTACGGTATTACTTTTTGTCATTAGGTATCACTTTTGTGTTGTATAAAAAAGTGGTATTTATATGCCCAAAAGTGATACATTTATGCCCAAGATAAAAGTGGTATTTATGTGTGTTAAAAGTGGTATTTCACGGACGGTAAATAGTGTTTTTTCATATCCTTGTCAGTATTTTTATCAATTTTATTTTTTCAAAACTATAAGACTTTGACTCTATTAAATAATAAATATGAATCATCAACACTATTTGTATATAATAATCCCTAAAATAAACTCCCAAACTAATGAAGTTAGTTTATTTATTTATTATAGAAAAATTTATTCCCAATCATTCTATTAAAGCACACCAAACCAGGGATGATGATAGCTTTTGCCACACACAGCCCCCGCTTGAGTATTTTATTTTGTTTCAGGAAGCATTGATGCTCTAATATTTTTAATTTTTTTTCCAAAAGCAAGTAAAATATTTTTAAAATTACCAAGTATGGACTATGTGTTACTGAGATGTCACCATACCTAAATTTAAATATTAAGTGCAGGTCTACGTAACAGGAATGGATTAATATCTCCAAGCCTATATCTAATGGAATAAAAAATTTCGCATCCCCATCTTGTTTGAATTAAGTTAATAATGAAACTAAAACGTGGTGGGTAATCTTACAAGTAATAACGCGAAACATATATATATATATATATATATATATATATATATATATATATATTTATCTTTTTGTAGAGAGAAATAATTGGAGAGGATTCAAATTCCTAGGCCTCAAGCTAAAGCATGTGAGAGTCAATATGAACAAAACCGAAGTCCAATGAACTTAATTTGAGCGAAAAATGTTACACAATAAAAAATTGAACTATACCTTAACTTAAACTCAGAAGAATAAACCTACTCCTTTCATCATATTGTAGGTGAAGTTTCTACTAATTTTATAGATCGAATTAAACTCATAAGTCATTTGAATCACAACCCTGTAAAAAAAAAAAAAAAAAATTTGTTGTTTTTTGTCCACAAAGGTATATATAATACGAGTGGCTAAAGAACACGAGCAAGGTGTGGGGTGGATAATGCAGGGACATCTCGTGACAGGAAGGGACAGGCAGAGAGATTGATCAGAATTATAATGTCTAGATGCCTTCAAATTTCAAAATATACCCATAAACCTGGGTTCCCTTGTCTCTAAATGTTTGTAGGGCATATGTTATCTCCACTTTTAGACAACTGTTCTAAATGTTTGTAGGGCATACAATAAGTTGGGATTTGCTTTTATTACCATCTCTCATTAAAAATTTTATTTTTTTATGGGTTAGTTTGGTTAGCGTGAAATAGCAAGAAAGGAAAAGAAACAAAAAATTGAAAAAAATTTTAACTGTTTGGTTAGCTTGAAAAGGAAAATTTTCAGGAAAGTAATATTCTCGCAAGTACTTAATTTTCCTAAAAATGTTTCCTCCAAAAAACACCGAAAAATTCCAGTTTCCCGTGAAAGTTGTATAATTATATTTTGATTCCCTATTATACCCTTATTAATTGTTTATTCATTCGTCTCTTTCTTCATAGATATATTAGAATTCTGTTATTAGATTATGATTCTTAAAATTAGGACTCTTTTCCACTCACAAAAGAAGTGAACTAATATAATGTAGTAATAGAGTCCTAATATATATTGCAACCTTAAAATAAAAAATTAAAATTAAAAAAAATTAAAAAACTATTCAATTACCAAATTTGTATTTGGACATATATATATATATATATATATATATATATATATACATAGCATAAAAAAGTGTATAAGATTGGGTTATATATATATATATATAACCCAATCTTATATACTTTTTTATGCCATGTATATTATTTATATTAAATTAGTAAGGATAGTTTTGGTATATAAAATTATTTTCTTTTCACTTTCCTGCCATCCAAACTCATGAAACAATATTTTCTCACAATTTTCTTTAAAAAAATTAATGCTAACCAAATGCATAATAGAAACTAAATTTTCTTTTCTTTTACTTCACTTTCTTTTCCTTTCACTTTCCACCATCAAATTCGGGCTAACCAAACAAACCCTATAAGTATCAATTATTTTAAGATTTGGAAAAAGGATCCGAAATGAAATGGGAATTGGAATAGAAATAGGAATTAAAATGAATTTCTATTTATATGTTTGTAATAAATTTGATTTAAAACGGGATTTTGAATAAAAATAATACTTTATAAGTATTAATTATTTTAAGATTTGGAAAAGGAATCCGAAATGAAATGGGAATTGGAATAGGAATTAAAATGAATTTCTATTTATATGTTTGTAATAAATTTGATTTAAAATGGGATTTTGAATAAAAATAATACAATATTATTTTTGTCCTTATTTAAATAATAAATGAAATATTTATTTTATTTTACCTTTAAAAAAAATATATTTATTTTATTATAAAATATACTCTAAAGTCAAATCAAGAAGACAAACAACGAGAATGACCACGTGTTGGAATCATGAAACATGAAATTTATTTATAAAAAAAGAAGAAGCAATTATTAAAGATAATATTAATAATATTGGCTTTTATATATACATATATAAATATATAAATGTTTGTAGGGCATATGTTATCTCCACTTTTAGACTACTATTCAAACTCAAATGCTCAGACAAATATATTAACTTATATTTTCCCAACCATGTCACTTGTAACGTTATAAGTACAAAATTTGTATGTATAGTACCGCACTACATTGTAGAATGTAGTGTGGTAACTGAAAAAAGATTGCTATGAGTCGGTGATATCGAGTTCGAAACGAGAGAATAGCCTCTTCGCTTGAAAGCAAGATTGTGTAAATTTGACCTGAAAAACCATACAATAAGCAATAAATAGACTGTTAAAACCTTGGCGGTGGTTATATATATATAAATATGGCACAATCCAAGCTCTTACCTTGGTTTTCTAACAATGATGTCATAGCATCTTTGTTCTTGCATAAACAAAGAATCGCCCTGAAGAAAAAAAAATTTAAAAATTGTAATTCTCAGTTCTTACAATTCTGTCTTCTTTTACTTTGTCTAAGATTTTATACAATTCATTAGAAGCCGAATGACAGTTTGATCTTTCAGCTTGTACATAATTTAACTGAATTTAGGCACTGTAAATAAAGATCACAAGGTGCAGAGGGAACTCCAGTTTGTTTCAGTGAGAGGGCAAATAACAAAAGAGGAAGATGATAGCTGATCATGGCAATGCAGATCAAAAATGGAGGTGAGTTTTCATTGATCTTACACTCTCAATATACATTATATGTATGCCTATATATATATATATTTTATATATTCAAATATGCAATCTTTTCACATTTCTGATATGATTTTCTTTTTTAATTGAGAAAAGAATGGAAGAAGAAGATGGTTTAAGAATTGTGGAGTGTTTAAGAGGAAGATTGCTAGCTGAAAGAGTGGCTTCAAGGGTTGCCAAAGAGGATGCAAAGCAAATGGAAAACAAGGTCTCTCTCTCTCTCTCTCTCTCTCACACACACACACACACACACACAATAATAATAATAATTTCCCACATTATCTGATCTGCCCTCTCTCTCTCTCTAAGTTGCAGCTGATAGAGCTGGAGAATCAATTGAAGGCAGAAATCAGATCAAGAAACAGAGCTGAGAAGAAGCTAATTTTTTTAATAAAAAAGCTAAAGTCCCTCAATATATTATATGCTTTAGAGGACTCAGAACATTCAAAATTGCTAGATAAGAGTGACACATCTTCCTTATCATCCACAACCTCTTCAAGTCCTAAAGCATCCAAATCACAAATGCTAAGACAAAATTTGAACCAAAATGTTTCACAGACTAATACCATATCTATTGATTCCAATCAGACCTGTCATAATTTTCCAATTTAAGGGACTTAATTTCAGTTCTACAAGTATATCCAATATTAATAACTCCAGGGTCTTGAATTGAGCCGATTTAATGATGATTATAAGAGGTACGTGACCAAGTCTCCATAGTTTCAATTCGATTTAATTTTTGCATACTTAAGTTTATGAATATATAAATATATATATATAAACAGAACTTTGTTGCATGCATATGGTTCATTGTTGTGTACTTGTAATTGAGAATTTGAGGTGTGTACATAATATATGTTTGTATATTGTTGTATGCATGTAATTGAATTATGTGTGTATTACATGTTTATTTGGGGATTGTTTAAACTAGATTCAAATTCTGATAATTTGTTTATGTTTTTGTAGCTTTAAATCTTCAATTGAGGAGAAGAAGATAAATGGAGAAAATGATAGAGATCAAGACAATTGTGTTGATGACTTACTGGCATTAGTCCCAGTTGATTTGCCGAAAAGCTTCAATGAAATTTCACTGGAGAAAAAGCATATACTTAAAGTTTATTCAAGATTATTTTTTGTGTGTTAAACTAATCATTACCAATTTTTCATGTGTTTAGCTAATTCTATGGATTTGAGAGAATAACACGGGACATTTTGAAATGAATAGAGACCACTGAAATAGTAAAAGAGCAAATTTGATCGTGCACATTGCAGGGACCATAGGAAGTGGGTTTGTTATCTTATTCTGTCACCTCGATGGCAAATTTGACCCACAGGTCACCTTCATCCCCACCACCCCCCAACAATCCACTCCCAACTTTCAGTGAGAATGATATACAGATACAAATTAATTTTGAAATGAAATCACTCCTTTTATAAATTTCACATTCAGAAATCGTTTATATTAAAAGTAGAACCATTAAAACACATGCCTGATAGGAGAGGATGCCAAAACACATGCCTGATAGGAGAGGATGCCAACCTTAAACTTTTATTACCGATACAATTCTCTAAAGAGTAATGATAGAGAGTCTGACAATTAGATATATCAGACTAAAATGACATCATAATGATGTTAGTCCTTACTTACTTAAATTAGTCAGACGTATTTGACTATCGAATTCCAAATCATTATCCTTCTCTTAAGACTTATTCTACTTCCAAATTAGTCAACTTTCAAATTAGCTCGATTGCATCTCATGCAAGGATCTGGATTCCCTTTTATGCAGGAATTCGACTACGTTTGTGCACCAAAATGGTACCATTTGGTGTAATGACGTGGAGATCAAAACGAAATCAATGTTGAACTCCATGTCTGTACACCAAAATTGAAATCCCCTTCACACAAAAAGGGGATCCTCTTCTCTCATTGCAAACCAAGCTCTCTAACTCCAAATCAAAACACCTCATTAAACTTAAATTTGTGATTGGAATAGGCTAATGATAAGGCTCTCACTTTAATTTTTGAGATTGAAAGTTAGAATTCTCATATGATCACTTCCAAATAATTTTTTGATAATTGTCCATGTGAGACGAGACGTACTCAATAGCGGACTATAAGATTTTTTAAGAGTTCTGAGACCATTATTAAAAAAAATGAAGGTATTAGCTAATTTATATGACAAATTTTCTAAAATATTTCTTTATAGAGAGCCCACCTTCACTTGTGTTATAATTTATAGGTAATTGGAGAACAGCCTTTGGTGAAACTCATATATTGCCTACTTTTATTTGATAGTTAGGCAATAATTTCAAAATGTATGAAATTGAGAATAGGAGGTCATTTTCAGATGAAGGTGGCAATTTGATCATTTTGGGTGGGAAAAAGGGACCAAGAAATAGCTTTTCCGTTTCGTCTGTAGTGTTTCCATCAAAGAGGGTCACACTCACACATTATGTATGCATTATAAAAGGTAAATTTGGTAATGGTTTATTCCAGAAACTCCCAACTTCTCCCACCAGCTTTGTTTAATAGATGTAATATCATTGTCAATCAATATATATATATATTGGCCTCTGTGGGACCATTTTGGAATCCTATCCTGTGAAATCTGAACCGCTAGATCAACATCCAGAGAAGATTTCACCATCAATGCAGTTTTAGGGGTGGGCCATCCTTGATTCAAACCTCTAATTGATTAATGGGAGAACATGTGGGTCCCAAATTCAAGTTTAATTAATTTTTCACAAACCCCAAATAAAAGCATTTGTTACCCTCGATTCTTGGACGGATAAGATAGCGATTTGGACGGAGAAGTGTACGTGAGTTTTAGTGGGGCGTGAAATCCTAGACGCTTTGATTGACCAATTGGGTAGATTCCAATTAAAATTTATATTCACATTTATTTTAATACTTGATTAACTTTTTTTTAATCCACTTCTCTTAATAGTAGAGTTTTTCACAATTATTTAATAATTTCTTTCAATTTCATGTGAAGCAAAATGAAATAACAAGTGAGTGTATGAGTTTTTTTATTTGAAATAAAAGAACAATGGCAACAAGTTAGGTTTGGATTGAGCTCAAAGCCTCAACCTCTCATTCCTACCTTCTTAACAAATTCAACTTGAAATGAAGCCAAGTTATCAAATTCAATTGAAATTGAATTATGAATTGAAGATTTTTAACACAAGCCTTATTTATGCAGAGTAAGTTGGATTCAATTGGCATGTCATTTCAAAAAGATAATATGTGAACTTGCAGTCATCCATCTCCATTTTCTACACGAAGTAAAATTATTTATCCTTTATATATATATATATATATAAATTACTGTGATTTGTAAGAAACATTTTTGCAATTTGTCCCCATAATTATTGTAAATGTTATAAGAGTATCTCCCATACTAAAACTTATTTTTGCATATCAAATTTATATTTTGACAGGTGCTACAGTGTTAAAATGCTACATTTTAACAATTCTGATCCAATGGTACATTTCACGCAAAATACTATTTTTTAACACAACCACTATTCTTTTTCAACTACCATTCCCACCATTCATATTTGCATCAGTAATATTAATATTGGGCACATTTCAAGTCAAGTTGTAGACATTAAAAGGAAACTATAATTAAACCTAATTAAAAAAAGTACAAATCTATAAATCAGGTCAAAAAAGGATAAAAAAAAAAAACAAATTTTTTATAATTTTTTTACCACTATTTGTGAATTAATTCTTTTATATAATTTTTTTTTTGGAAAATTTGTATATATTATATATATAGATAAAGAGATGCGAGTGGTCATATATAGAGATGCGAGTGGGTGATGACCAATGAGAAACGGTACCGTTTTGGAAAATGAGATACTTGCCAAAAAAAATTTGGCAGCTGCCATATATGAGAAGAAATTTAAGAATTTCAAATTTTGAGAGTTTAAATAAGAGCTCATTGGAGACGTTCTTTTTAACCCAATTCTCATATTTTGAGTTTGAGAAGTCCAAATAAGAAAACATTGGAGTTGCTCTGAGATATATATATTTTAGAATAACTACACTTTCCTCTCTTATGAATCAGCCTTATCGTTTAAAACATAATACTCACTTCTCGTGACTTTGACCCAAATATGTTAACCGATTATTATACCGATTGTTATTTTATTAATTAATAAAATATTATTAAAGATCAATAATAGAATATTCAACATATCTGATTAATTATATTTAAATATGATTAACGTAATGATCGTATCATCATATTTAATAAAATTTATAAAATAACTTTTTTCAATTTTTTTTAAGTGACATCATCAAATTTGAAATAAATTTTAAGCATGTACATGATCCTCAAAAATTTATGATAATTGACCAGGAATGTCAATATTACTCAGACTTGGATTTTTTTGCAATTAACCATAAAAATAATAGTACTTGAAAAGTTTTTCAATTCTTACCCTTTTCTCGTGACTTTCTGACTAGCCAAACAAATCCAAGGAATCAGAAGAGATTAACACCACTAAACCAAAAAAACAAGTGAAAAAAATGTAGTAAGAGGAGCAAAAATTGCCTAAAATGGTGGGTTATTGTTCGTAAAGGATAAAAAATTGAGGTTAGAAACCCTAGAAGTTTACATGGCCTCAAAAGCACAGGTAACAAAGGAGAGAGAAATCAAAGAGAGAGAGAATACAGGGGGTATAGAATAGAAAACAAAAATGTCAGAAAGTTGTAGTTTAAAATTCTCTTCATTATTTGCCTTCCCCTCCATCATCTAAGATCTCATCTGACAATACACCGAAAGATCTTCTGCCGAAAACTTCCAAAACCCTTTGCTTATCCACTGCCCCTCTCGATCCCTCTGATCTGAGAACAAACTCTGTCACCCTCAAATCTATATGGGTTTTTACAGCTAAGCCTGTTCTTGAGAGGTGACACACCACAGGAAAGTCCAAAACACATTTCGCCCAGGTTCAAGGTATGCGAAACCAGCACACCTCCATATTCTCTGAACTCACATAAAAACTATTGCTTTCTTGTCTTGACAGAGACATCTTCTGGTTAATTTTGCCCATACCCATTTGGTCTTTTGTATACATTAATGGTGTCTAGGTCCTGTAGTTGTGGTGAGTATATAGTTTCAGGATTTGGGGTTGTGGGTTTGGAGCATAAGCAGAAACTGGAGTTGAGGTTGGGTTTGGGTTTGGGTTTTGTTCTTGATCTGGGTTTGATGAATATGTTATTTGCTGGGTCTTTTGGATGATAAATATGAGTTTCGTTGGGTTATGATTAAAGTTTTGTTGTTGAATTGGGTTTTGTGAATACTTTGATTAATGATTTATATGTGAGTTGATTTCATAAATATGATTAAACCCTGTTGGAAGCCCTCTGTGGAGGGTGATGGAGGTCGTCGAGGTGGAGGTGTAAGTCGAGATGGCGGCCGGGTTGATGGGTTGTTATGGTACAAAGATTTGGGACCCCATGTCAATGGAGAATTTTCAATGGCTGTAATTCAAGCCAATGGCTTGTTGGAGGACCAAAGCCAACTCGAATCGGGGCCGTTGAGCTCTCTTGACTCCGGCCCCTATGGGACATTCGTTGGTGTCTATGATGGACATGGCGGACCAGAGACCTCCCGATTTGTAAACGATAATCTGTTCCCCAATATTAAGAGTATGTTCTCATCTTGTTTCTATCGTTATTGATTTAAGTTTATTCTGAAATAGTTTCAATGTTTAATGTTTTGATGTTAAACTATTCAATGTTACTTATCAAAAAAAAAAAAAAAAAAAACTATTCAATGTTGATATTGACTATCGTATCTCTAAATTATTATGGTTGGCTTGCATTGCTTATTAAAGCTCGAATGCTTGATGTTATTGGAGTTTCAAGCAGTGGGAATTAGGATCCCTCCAAGGTGTCAAGCAGTAAGCATTATAATAATCAGATAAGTTATATAAGAAAGAGAATTAGCTATTAAGAGATCTTACTATATCCACACTCAGAAATAGCTCAAGAAAATTTGATTAGCCTCGCCTTCCTATAAAAGTTCAGCACAATGAGAAGCTCTCTCTTTCTCTCTCTGAACTTATTTTGTACTACACAAATAGCAGACATAGAAGTACACACACGAACTCTCTTCTTCTTTTTTTCCTAGTTGGTACTCACACACACTTGTCTCTTTTGAGACTTGAACCCCTGACCTCCCTTTGGGAGGTAAGAGGCTGATACTGCTAGGCCACTGACCCGTTGGTCACACGCACACGCATGAACTCTCTTCATTCACCTGCTAATCATATTTTTGAGTGCTGAGCTTCTGAGCACATTTTACAAGCATGCAAATCAGTGTATACCTACCAGATAAAATAACAATAGTATGCTATCAATGATAACTATCTTCAACTTTGCACCTGGGAAAAAACTATAATTATCTTCAACTCCAATAATTTTAGTTGTTCCAAACTTCTTTGTTCCAAATTTTCCGCTGTTTATGTGGGTTGGAAGAGTTAAAAGAAAAACGAGACCTCTAGAGTAACTTAATATCTCTGGAACAAGTTGAGCTACAATTTATGGGTGAAAATATTTCTTGCTACAATTTTGTCAAAAATAAACATTCAGTCTTGATCTATTATGTCACACCAAGGTGCCTCCTGGATTTGGACAAGATCTGCTGCCAATCCTCTAATTTAAACTCAATCAAACAATAAATCCATACACAATTATTCATGGTGTTGTATAAGCATCTTTAGTTACAAATGGAAGATCAAAATGAAGTGAATTGATGCAGTGAGGCATGAAATTATTATCAATGATTCAAGAGGATACATGACCCTAGATGGAGTACAAAGAGGATTTATGTCGCCATCCAAAATAGTTAGATTTAAGATTTTGTTGAGTTGGGTTGAAACACCTGATTCACCTTTAAGAATATTATCTTTACCACACACCAAATACTTGTTGCTCTAGGACCTCGCATCCAGCTTAGCTCATTCACATTGCTCACTCTTTTTTTTTTTTTGGTTCCATCTTGTAGAACCCTATACTCGATGAATCTAAAAATGTGTAAGGTTTTTGGTCACTGGAACCAAACTAATCTCTGAGGTACAAATTCTCATGATTAGGTTTTAGAGGGATTTTGTTGCCCCAGCAACCTAACACTACTTGCTGCTTTTTATCTAACAGGAATTAGGCTTCTCTTTTATTTTACTTAAAATGCTCGTTGTGACTTCACTCTTCCCTTCAATTCAGAATTTGCCACTGAGCATCAAGAGATATCTGCAAATGTCATCAAAAAGGCATTCTTGGAAACTGAAGAGGAGTTTCTCTCTCTTGTAAAGCAGCAGTGGCCAATTAAGCCGCAAATTGCATCAGTGGGATCATGTTGTTTGGTGGGTATAATATGCAGTGGACTACTATACATTGCGAATGTTGGAGACTCTCGTGTAGTGTTAGGGAGAGCAGAGAGGGGTGTTAGAGGGGTCACAGCTATTCAGTTATCTACGGAGCACAATGCAAGTATTGAATCTGTGAGAGATGAGCTTCGTTCATTGCACCCGCATGATGCACAAATTGTGGTTCTAAAACACAAGGTTTGGCGTGTGAAAGGTATCATACAGGTAACTTTCCTGAGTTCCTTTTCTGTTTTGTTGCTTTTTTGTTTGTTTTTTTATTTTCTTTAAGATTAATGGATTCTATATTCCAAATGGTGAGGATAAGGCTTTGCCTTTTGATTTTTTTGGCTGGAAGAGAACATTGCATGAAAAGTCATTCTCAAGGTGTTCTTATTTGCTCATAAAATTGACTCAAGCTTATTTCATCAGGATAAAAGCTTGGTCAAACAGGATTTTTGAATTTTGTTTCAAGCATTTTGCTTAGATACTTAGATTCCTGTGTAATTGTAATTACTCTGTTCAATGTAGTGCTTAAATTGGCTGAGTTGTTACTTAATAATGTTATTTTTTGGTCGTTACACTCCAATGTATTTGTAAAATATCTATCAAAGGGACAGCATGTAAACATACATGCGCATTATGGTCCGGCAATTCATAAACAACACTAAATGCAATTAAGTGGAGGGAGGAGGTTTGTTGTACAAAATAACTGTTATTATTATAATAGATTACACTACCCTCCCTGAAGTTTTTGGCAATTAAAGTGTTCCCCTATTGGAATTAGAAACTTCTACTAGATGGCAGTAGTAGAATGTCATTTCACTAATTTTCCATTAAGATATTTGAATTTGTTTTAAAAAAAAAAAATGGTTTTTCAATTTGCAAAATTGGAAATCTAACACTCTAAATTGCTGACATCAACAAAATCATCTTTAATTAGTGTTGATCATTAACAGAGTGAGAATCTATTACAAAATAAAGTTTGACAGAGCCACAGCTTAGTTTAATTTTTCTGACAAGATCCGTGTCATTATGGCACTCCTCAAGGGAATTCACTGTGTCCTTATTGTTATTTAAGAAAGCTTGCAAAGTATTATGTCTGTCTCATTTATTAATGGAGTTTCTTATATCTCTTTTTTAGGTTGCAAGATCCATTGGTGATGCCTATCTGAAGAAGGCAGAGTTTAACAGAGAACCTCTATTGGCAAAGTTTAGACTATCCGAACCTTTCGCCATGCCAATCCTTAGTCCAGAGCCATCAATATTTATACACAAACTCAACCCCAAGGATCAGTTTCTCATATTTGCATCTGATGGTCTATGGGAACATCTTAGCAACCAGGAGGCTGTTGATATTGTTAACAATTGCTCGCGTAGTGTAAGCTTCCAATCTCTCTAACCATACGTAGTAATAATATAGAAAATATGCTTGTATGAGTCTTACTAACCACCATTTTTCTGTTTTTTCCCATTTGCAGTTGATAATTTGTTTTGCAAATTTTATTTTTTTATTTTTAAATTGATTTTTCAGAAGTTAAAAACGTGGAAAACAATGTAAAAGCTCTTTAGTCTTTTATTATAGTAGATAATTGCAGTTCTTCCCAATCTGACCATGAGAATATTGTTTTGTGAAACCATGGCCTCAAACGATATTCTTGTTATCTATATATGGCAGGGAATTGCTAAGAGACTTATTAAAACTGCGCTTCGAGTGGCAGCTAAAAAAAGAGAAATGAGATACTCGGACCTGAAAAAGATTGATCGAGGGGTGAGAAGACATTTCCATGATGACATCACAGTTGTCGTTGTGTTTCTTGATCCGCCTCCGAACAGGAATTCATCTTCTTGTTCCACATTTTCAATAAAAGGAGGTGGAGGTGTACCCAACCACACAAAGTCCTAATCTGCAATTTTATTTGATTTTCATATCTTAGACTAGTTTCCATATCGAAAGAAGGCAAGAAATCATTTTCTCTTCCTAGGCTTCCCATACACCAGCAGACAGATTATTATGAACAATGTACTGATAATAGATGTTGAAGACACTGCAAGACAGTCCTTCAAAAATCTTCTGCAACTGGGTTGGACAACAATGTAAAATTGTCACTAACATTTCAGAAAGAAATGATGCTGTTGGTTCAAGCTCAGAAGTATGGTCCAGTTGGTGTGAAATTTCGTATGAAATTGTATGATCTTCACAAATGTATATATGAGTTTTCTGCACTTTTTCTCTTTCATTAGATGAATTATCACACTGGCACAAATGTTGCTATAAATCATTTGTTAATCTAATTTTTGACTCATAAGTTAGGGGTGCTTTTAATTGACTCCACCATATTTAAAGATGAGTTTTTTTTTTTTTTTTTCCTACGCCTCCTAAATTTTCCTCCCAAATCTCATCATCCCCATCAACAATCCGTCAGTTGCAAGCTGATATTACAAACTCTCCGTGTGAAACTGCCTGTGAAAGGTCATTTCAATATTGTGAAACTGTGTCTGTGAAAGGTTATTTCAATATTCAGATTGGTTAATATAAAAGTCAAGATAAAAATATCAATTAATTACCTTGAAAATAGTTGTATCAAATTTGAGAGGATGTTTTTGTCTAAAAATATAAATAAGTTTTATCCCGTACCTTTTTTTGTAAATCTTAGAAGGTAAGGTTGTACTTTAATCAAAAAAAAAAAAAAAAAAATTGAGCTCAGGTACAAAACACAACTTATTTGTCATCTTTTTCAACTTCTTGAAAGACTCTCTCCGTTTATTTTATTTTTTATGTTTAGAAAATAGGTTTTTTTATTTATTATTTTTATCTATTATCTCTCGATATCAGGGAAAGGATGTGCTGTCCTTGTCAATGCGTGTAAAAAAAAATCGCGGTACTCTGTTGTAAGGCGGTTCACCCTCAGTCTGTAAGAAGGCGGTCCGTCTTCACCCTCAGTCTATAAAAAGGCGGTCCGTCTTCAGTCTTCACCCTCACTTCAAAACCCTACGCCTCGTAAATTTTCCTCCCAAATCTCATCATCCCCATCAGCAGTCCGTCAATTGCAAGCACTGTGTGTGTGAAACTGTATGTGTGATGGAGAAGCAGCCGAAGAAGAAAGGTATGGGACGCCGTAAGATCGAAATCCGGAAAATAGAAAAGAAAAGTCATTTAATGACTTCCTTCTCCAAGCGCAGGGGCGGCCTGTTCAAAAAAGCGGCTGAATTGAGCACCTTGTGCGGTGCCAATGTTGCCGTGATCGTCAAGTGCCCTGCCGCAGAGAAGATTCATGCCTTTGGAACCCCGTCGGTCGATGCCGTCTTCAACCGCTTCCTCTCCCAAAATCCTCCTGAAGAAAAAGTGTTGGAAGAGTGTGAAAGGAATTGGTGGGACGTGGAGATTGATGAACTAGGGTTGAATGAGCTTGAGGACTACAAGACTGCATTGGAAGTGCTGAGGAACAACGTGGTGGCTCGAGCCGACGAGATGGCCATGGCGAGTGCGAGTGCTTGTTCGTCTAATTTGATGGAGTCCGATCTTTTTGAAGATATTCCAGAATTAGACTTCACCGACTTCGACTTTGATTTTGATTTTGATTTTACTAGTGAGTTTATTAATGAACATCAAAATTAAACTAGGGTTTTTTGTTCAATAATTACAGTATTAAGGTTTGTGTATAGAGTACAGTATGTGATTGATTTTGATGTATTAATTGATCGATTTGTATAAAATGCTATAATCAAGGGAGTTTAGTCTTCTGTTTAATCCCCTTTTTTGACTGTGTTCTCAGTTCCATGTTGTTTTTTATCCCAATGCTTGTGGATTGCGTGGAGGCACATGTGTTTTATATTAAGTGTCTATGAATATAGTTTGATCACATATAATTAGATTAGGTAGGGTAAGGGTAAGCTTTTTTGAGTTGAGATTAAGGAACAGCCACCTGATCTCAGAATTTTGAAGGGATTTCACTAACAATGTGAACCATGGCAAGTGAGTGTGGCACAATATCCATATCTTATGTCTTTCTGATTACTGAGGGAGTTCATTGCTAGCACCAGTCCTAGTCCTTGTGTTTACACTTTACAAAAATAGTGGCTTTCAGGTTTAGAATTTAGTTAGTCCTGGGCAGAAACATATATAATTTTCTGTCTACTTTTTATAGTTTCTTATATCTCATTGATTTAAACTGCAACTTTTTCCTGTCACATAATTTTTTATATGCTGGAATTCATTCTTAATTCTGTTGTTTATACACCTGTGTATGGTTCACAATTGATAGCTTACATCCATCTCATTATTCGGAGCACCAACATTTGTGTCATTTGCATCAGAATGTGAGCTTTAGGGAGAATGGCTGACGACCTCTCTAAGCAACATCCTTTGGTGGCTGAAACAATGTCAGAGAAGCATTAGGATGAATAATACCATTCCATCTTAAGAGATGGGATCAGATGGAATGATCCCACTGGGAAGAAAGCAAATAAAGACAATGTGCTGGTTAAGCAAGTGTCAAATTTGCCTGGCTATTTACAGCAAGTGGAGAAAGGAAAAAATCACCAAGAAAAGGCTTTGAATTTTGGAGTTCTTGATTGGAAGCATCTAGAAAAATGGAATTGCAACCAAAAGCACATTCGTACAAAGAAATGACATGAATACTCCATCCTCTGGCAGTAATTCAACATCTGTAAGTGGCTCCTCTTCACTTTTTAGTTCAGATCGTTGCAAGATTCTTGCTCCTCAAAGAAAGGAGACACCATTACATTGTTCTCGTCTTAATTCATCTCATGAAGAAGGCATTTCTCAAGGCGTCAAACATTCTCAAGGGAAAGGGATTCAATTCAACTTCAAGATTTTGAAACTGCTCCGAAGAGCACCTCGGATGGGCAGAGAAACATCCTCTGGAGGAGTATTTTTGGTAGAAATTCTGCGATAAAGATGGAGAGGGGCAAAGGAAGAGATCCAGATCAATTGATTGCTTCAGAAAAGGAAACTTGGTCTTTTGATTTGAGACAACATGGGTTCTCACACACTGCAAATGGGATTCAATGAGTGCTTATGATTGTGAAAGTAGGCAGAAATTGGAGTTGCAAGCATCAGAATTTAATCTTTTTCATGAGCACTGCCCTGGCAAACACCATAGTGTTGTTCGCCTTTTTCCCAAACATTCTATGAGAAAGAGTTGCTCGGAGGTATTTCAGCTTTCCGGACCCAGCATATCATTTGATGGAAAATTGACAGAAGATGAATTTTCATCTTGAGGGAGTTCACTCTTCGGAACTGGGTTCTGAAATTTCAAACTCTAGCACACTGTCTGCTGGCGTGCAGACCAACACAGAATTTGATAAGAAGCCATGTAGCTCAGAACACGGATCTTCCACCCAATGTGCCCATATTCAATTGAATCACAAACCATGTTATCCAATGGTAAACCTGTAGATGAGAATACGGCAAGCGTAGAGCCCTTCAAGTTCAAATACAACTGAGACTTCCAAGAGATATGATGCATAAACTGCAGAACAAGGGACTGGCCGAGGAAGGCATCCCTCACCTAATCGCCGGTTTGCATTTAGCCTCAGCAGGATGAGCACAAGTTTTAGTTTTAAGGAGTTCCAAAATCCCCATATTCTACTGGTCAAGTGAGTTCCAAAACTTCTGATTGTTTGGATAGCGCAAATGGAAAAGAGATATTAATGCTCATAGCATTGAGGATCATCTAGACCTTGCTCTACCCACGAGGACCTTGATCTTTTCCTTCAGATACTGCTTTTATGTCAGCTGATAGAGCACTCTCTCTTTCTGAGCCTTCAGTGTTAAACTTTGTTATTTTGCTAAAATACTTGGTCTATTCTATTCTATGCTTTCATACAGCCTTACAGGGTAATACTCGGTTGAATTCAATGCATCAATCTCTTTGTTACAATCATTTGTAAATCATCCGAGGTCAGAGTACCTGTCTGACACAAAGCTTTCAAAGGAATTTGCTTTGACCAACGGGAAGTTCCGGCAAAATATTTCCCACCCCCACCCCTACCCCTGGCCTTCTCCTGTTGGGAGACTGTAATTTCATGCACAGGGGATCTGTTTAGTTCTTGGTTCATGCATTTAGCTGGGAAAAGTTCTTTATATAGCAAAGGAAGCAGCAAGTCCACCTCAAAGAACCATTTGTTTTTTGGTACTGAAGGAGTTTAACAGTTAACGAAGATAGCTTTTCATTCAGTCTCACATTTTGTTCATCTTTCTCCTGGCCCGACCAAACAGCCAATTCTACAGTTATGACCATAATAAAAATGTAAGAGCTGAAGCATTTAGTGTTAAATCCAAACAACTTGAAGAATAAAAATGAAAATTCAACAGAATTTGAGAGAGAGATTTTTTTTATGTTTTATCTTAATGTTGGAAAACATATATACGTAAAAAAATATTTAAGTTGGCAGAATTATTCGGATTACAATTATGGAAACTATACTCATGGAAATTCTCGGAAGTTCAGAAACTTCTCTTCTTTTCCTTCTATGCAAAAGTATCTCACTACAAGTTTTTTCTTCAATAATCAGTTGAAAAATGATTTATATGAATTGAAAATTTTCACTCATTCCAATTACTTTTCACATTTCCTAATAATTTGGAAAATACAATGCCCATATAAAAAGAAAAAAAAGAATAGCAAGGAAGGAAAATGATATAAAATACGACAGTTTTTTGTACAAATTAATATGACAGTTATTGAGATAATTAATTTTAAAAAGAGATAGTCTTTGTTAAACTCATATCTTTCCATAAATGAAGAATGTAACTGTTTTTTTAAGAAAAAATAAAAATTAATAATGGGTGACTTTCACCTCATATGAAACAACTTAATTTGTTGTTGCGCCAATGCTGCCCTCAAGACATAACTAAATACACACCCCAAAAACAGAGGCCACGATATTGGTTGTTTCAATCCCCTTTTATTTTCCTCACTCCCTCTTCTTTCCATTCCCACTCGGCCATACAGGCTGTAAAACGTGACAACTAAAAGTACTCGTACTAGCATAAAAGAATTGGATGACACTATATACATCCAACCAGAAATGACCCCCAAAAAAAAAAAAAAAAAATTTAGGAAATTCAGATTAAAGATAGCAGCAAATCCTGACATTGTGAAGGAGAGGGGTGACCTAACCTTATTGGCTGTTTTCAGCGGAGTCATATTCGCAGGGACCCTCTTGTTCGGTGGATTTTTTTGCAGATATGCCTTCAGACCAGAAGAAGAATTGACTAGGTATTGCGTACTCGGCTAGAAAATTACTAAATGAAAACGGAACGAATTGAGATGGATGATAAATCAGATCACTCCCAACTAAATGAATGTAATAATGGAAGTGCTTCAATCATTCGACTTGCACATCATTACACCAAGTAAAATGAAGCTACTTAGTATCAACTTCATCAAGTAATCGATGAGACATAATAAGGAAAAAAAAAAAAAAAGAAAAGAAAAGGTCCCAAAACAGATATAAACGGCTCATGATCATCAACCTCTAAAGCAACCTAATTTTACCAACTTTATATAGTTTGACAAATGATACTAATTCAGCCCAAAAATTAGAATAGTGCATTAATTCTTAACAAACTCTATGGTGACGGAATATATTATCAGTGATTGTGATTGAGGATGTGGACATGTGATTGAGGATGTCTATATGGTATTTTTGTAATGGTTGTTGATGATGAATGTCAGATTGGCACCAGGTGAAGAGCTAGAACTGTGTTTAGTTTAGGGGTGCGATTTGGGCAGGTTAACCCAAATTCAGTCCAAAATTTTTGAAATTTGAGCTTTTAAATTCACAAATTGGGTTCAATTTGGTTTGGATTTTCTCAAAACTCAGGCATGTTCGGGTTGGGCTCAACCAACTTCTAACCCTAATTTGGTCTTGTGTTTTTGGACATTGGATCATGCTCGTTTAATTTTCACTCCTATCCTAATGCTAAAATGATTCTTTCAAAATTAAGTGAAAGTACTTGTGTCAGATATATAGGTCTTGTTTGGGGGAGCTTACTGTACTCTCAAAACGGGTTTTTACACTTAAAAGCCTATTTTAGGAAAAGTACACCTGTTTGGTAAAAATTTTAAACGGGCTTTGAGGATAATTCAGCTCTTTGAAAGCCCGTTTAAGGGAAGCAACTAAAACCCTGCTTCATAGATCACTTTTCGGGAATCAAGTTATTGAATAAGTAATAAATTTTTAATTACAATTTTAACCTTTTAAAATAAGAGAAGAATATAAGACAAAACATTCGAGGTGTAGAAAAGATGTTGAGGTGTAGAAAAGATACCAATCTCAAAGACTAGCAGAGGCGTTGTAAGATTTGTCAACTTTGATCCAATTTAACTCCCTGTGGAATTGTGTACAACCTTTTTCTCTCAAAAAAAAAAAAAATACATATATATATATATATATATACCGCACGGAGGTTATATAAATCCACCCAGATAAGAAAATAATATATATATATATATATCCGTGCGGCTTTAACTCAATGGATTTTTAATTCAAGTCCAACAACCACCCATCCTCAACCCCCACCACTTGGATGAGCAATCTGGGGAGCCGCCATAATAAGAACTAAGGAATAACAAGCATGAAATTCATTTAACATGATTCTAAAATTAGGGTTTCTATTATAGCTGCAGATAAGAATGAAATTGGATCTAGATACTTTTGCTACAATTTCTTCTTTCTTGTTTTTTTTTCTTTTTTTTTTTTGGTAATTTTCAACTTATCAAGTCAATATGTATACCCTTGATCTTCACTTTGACAACCATCAATGGAAGTTTATGAAAAGTGTATTGACGGTGAGAGCATAATTGAAGTATGAATATCAATTACTTGTTGCTCCAGTGATTTTCACTCCATCACTTTAATTATTGATTCTTTTCCCTTTCTCATTTATTGCTATATTCGAATTCAATTATGAACTATTCATAAATTTTTTAGGATTTGAAAATATATATATATATATATATATATATATATATATATATATTTATTGAGAATAATATTGTTAAGTTAAACTGTGTTTAGTTAAAACAACTTCAAAAAATGCATTCACCAAACATCTTTTTTTGTTTGAAATTCCTTCCATTAAAATGCACTCACCAAACATCTTTTTTGTTTGAAATTCCTTCCATTAAAATGCATTCTGCATTCTGAAAGCTCATTGCCGCTTCAAAACTACCCTTCTATTAATTGGGAGGAAGAGATTGTATTAGATGAGCTATACTCTTGATTGGACTCTCTTTTGGTTGTTTTGTTTACACGTATTAATTTTCCCAACTCATTTATAAAATTGACCTAAATTTGTTTGTTTTTGCTTCCTTGACAAAGGATCGCCATACCTTAACAATTGGATGGCTATGAGAAAATTAAAAGATATGATACCAAAAGAGACCCTTTTCTACAACGAAAACTTTAGACCAAAAAGGAAAAAACTAGGGTGAGGCTTTTAGAGAGAGAAACGTTCCTGGTGGCTTTTTTTTTTTTCTTCAAAATAGTAATAGGGCTTAATGGTAAATACGATAAAAGATAAATGAGATCCCTTAGAAAAGATGACGTCTTTAAATTCTTCCATGACCATGAGGCTAAAAGGATTTTTTACTGTATGGCACCTGTAGGCATATATCGTACGGCTGCAACTTCGGCAGGTTAACCCAGCCTAACCTGAAAATTTGAAATTTAGACTTGAAGTTTACAAATCAAGTTCATATTCGAGTTGGGTTTATCAAAACCCAGATATATTCGGGTTGGGCTCACCCAACCCAAAAACCCAAAAATAAAAAAATAAAAAAAAATTCCTTTTTATTTCCTCCGTTCTCTCTCCTCTCTCTTCTTTTTCTCTCTCTCTCTCTCTTCTTTGTTAGCAGTTGCAAAGAGAGAGAGGGGGGCAAGCTTGAGAGTTGAGAGACAGCGGTTGAAGCTTGCGAACGGCGAACCCGATCTGCAACAACGGGCGATGAAAACTGAAAGATCTGGGTTTTGATTTTTTTAACGATCTAAAATAGTTGAGAGTTCTATAATAGCGGGCGATGGAAACTAAAAGATCTGGGTTTTGATTTTTTGAACAATCTGATATGATATGCCGATATGGATTTTGAACTTTTAATTGTTGCAGACAGATAGAGAAAACTGAAATATATGAGTTTTGAAGTTCTGATTCTTGTAGATTTTGTAGTTTGCAGTTGTCGTAGAGAAAGAGAGAGAGAGAGAGAGAGAGGGGGAGAGGAGGGAGGCAAGTTCAGATAGAGGCGGTTGGGGAAAGCTAAAAAGATTTGTCCTAAATAAAATATAATATATATATATATATATATATATATATATATATAATTTGTTTTTAATAATAATATAATCAAATATATATATATATATATATTTCCAAAATTAAAAAAATTTCAACCCGACCAAACCCGTCCAAACATATTCGGACTGGGTTATGATCATAACTCATGTTGAATACAATTCAGGTTGACCCAATCCAACCCGATTCGGGTTGAGGTTGAGGTTGGATTGGGACTGGATTAGGTTGGGCCAACCCTACTTGCAGCCCTATTATATCGGCCTGACAAGAGGACCGAAAAGTGTGTAAAATACCATTTCAGCCCTGAGCAACATACATTACAGCCTTTTATAAAAACATAATGAAGATAAACAAATCACTTCCAACAACTACTCATGCAAATAAAAATAATGATAATATAATGCCAAAATCACCCACCCATTTCTATTAATAGTTGTGACAATTGCTTCAGAATCACAAGAGAAAAAAATATATATATATATATATATACACACAAACTATGGCACAGTAAGAAAAACATTAATAAAATAAGATAAAATAAAACAAACAATATAATTATTTCCCCAATCAACTTCCTTATCCTTACAAATTGATAAATCAAAACATTCTACAACAAAAACTACAAATCTCTGTTACCAAACGTCTTCTTCCATCCCTTGCTGCATATCCAATCACTTTAGCAGGGCAATTCACACAGTGAGACCAGGTAATCAACAACTTGAGTCATTCTAACTGAAATGACAGGCTAGTTAAAATCTTTAATTTTTGAATCTATACCCTCGTAATAACAAATCATGTGATTCACTTGCCCAGAAATTCATCCTTGACAACTTTAACATCAATTTGTTCCCACTGCTCTATTAAACTGTAGCAGTCAAGTTGGAAAACAGCAAAATGGAGAATGTGCAAGTACATGTATCTAATCCAACGAAGACTTAAAATCGAATACACATTTCAGTATCATCTGATCTGCGATTCATAGTGGCAAAATACATATTACTCCTTACTACCATGAAACGACCAGGAAATGGCACCCTCATTTAACAACTTGCAAGCTGATTTCAATGAATGCATTACATGGTACTTAATCACTCTCTCAAATCTAACAGGAAATGCATATAGTTCAAAAACCCTCATTTAACAACTCGCAAGCTATCAATATAGAATTAAAAGCATCATAAGCAGGCTTGCTTCATATGCTGTTCTCCAAGTCTACTAATGATTCTCCTTTTCAGCGATTGACAATTTCCAGACTATTTCAGAAAAACCTAAAGGTCGCAATGATCTCATATTTAAGTGAACCACATTAGGCGTCCAACTGATTTCAATTAATATGGGTCAGACTTCTACAAGAGGGGCACATAATCCTACATGGAGTTGTAGGACAATTTTAAAACAACAATCTTGGATCAGATGATCTTATACTTGCACATTCAACATATGCCGACTCCAACTGGATCTTGAGTATGTGGCACCACAAGCATGATAATTAATCACTACACCTAGCCTATGTCCCTATGTCCACATCTCAATCAGAGAGAACAAAATTGAGGATAAAGTTGTCAAATAGAAGAACCAACTTAGTGACCTGTAATTCCTACAGAATTGAGGTCTTACATTACCTACCAAAAAAACAAAACGAGAGACTTAGCTTTATAAAACTCCAGAAGCAGAATACTTTTCCCGGGCAGTAATTTCAGTCATTTCGGATGGGTTTAACACTAAGAGGTAGTTGTTGATTATCCTAGGCCTCACCATGACAAATTGATAATAATTGAACCTTCGAAAAGAGAAAGCTTCTTCCGGTTGCCAAAATCTGGTGCTGCACCTCATAAATTTATAGCCTAAAGAAGCAGACGTGTACAAAAGCTATTGGGGAAGTCACAAATGCTAGAACTCTAAACCTGCAATATGAGGCATGTAAATTAATTCAGATAACTCACGACTGACTCATTGGATGAGTGGACAGTGATTGCCATAGAAAATTACATCTTGAACAAATCTTACTGTAAAAGAGGAAAGTAGGACAATCAGACCCCACCACCAGCCTTGCCCGTAATAGCTGCTTTCTGAATTTTAAGAGCAGAATATAAGTACTGAAAACAATACAACCATAGGACACCCACCCATGTCTGTAAAACCACAACATGCAGAATGGCTTACCGGCTCAATGTTTCCTTTGCCATTCACTTCTGATAGAGAACCAGATGAAGATTGTGAAAACCTGGAAAAATAATTTTGAAAACTTATCAGATTTAATGCATAATTAAAAATACAGCTCTTCAAGCTTTTACATTGCTACAACTGCTAATTGAATGATCATTGTATCGTTCCCCTTATCATAATAAAATGGGGAAGAAGCCAAAGCCTAGCACAATGCAGACCTGATCGCCCTTGCTTTCTTTTTATCTTCTTCCAGTGGATCTGACTTAGAAACTGCTGCAAACCTGGCAAGCCTAGCTTTCTTCTTGGCATCCTCATCAGCATTCACGGACTGCACAAGACCAAACCTGAAAACAGAATAAAGGACAGTAAACTACTTGCACATAATAAAAGAAATCAAACAGCTCTGAACTTTCAGAAAACCTCTCTGCTCTAGCCTTTCTCTTCTGGTCCTCCGATTTCTTCAACGCATCTGATCCATGTGCAGCAGGCACAGTCCCAAACCTGTAAATGAGATGAATCAAATTTGATTTGAGAAGTTGAATCAGTCAAAGGTAGCAAAACTGAAAGATGAATTCAATCATCACCAAAATACAAACAACAAAACGCCATTGACACTATGAAATTCCAGCTACAAAGGGAAAATGGACATTACTGGATTAGATGAATAAAATCGCAGCCAAGTCTGCAATATTAAAAAATATTACCAAATTGTTTGTGAAAAGTAGAAAACCCATAGACGGAAAACTTTGCTAACACTGAAAGGATTGTAGAGCAAAAACTAAGTCCAATCAATAAAGCATGATTTATTCACAACTTTAAGATAGTTGGGCAGCAATTGGTATTAAAATAGCCTTTTCTAGCATATTCACACGAATATAGAATCAGCCAAGCATCAAGTTTGACAAATGCCACTCTCCTAGTCAAAGTCAGAAACAACAACTTGAAAAGATCAACCACAGTCAGCACTTAAAAAACTTCACAGTGGTAATTAAAATTAATTGCTAATATTGTCATACATCAAATGGCCTTGACAGGAGGAGTAGCTTGCGTGCATCTTTTCAAGAGCATATCCAAGTTTTATGGATACATTGTATTTTTACTCGAACGACCAAGGATTCATTTAGATAAACAGGAGGGGAAAGAAAAGAAAGAATAACATTAGTTCTGAGAGAAAAGAAAAGAAAGGATAACCTATATTCATGTTTGGATAAATTACGAAGGAAAAGAAAGGAAATGATAGCAATTTGTTTGGAACAAGGTTTTTCAAAATGGGGATTCTACGTGGGATCGTTTTGGGCTCCGTAGGATCAGAATCGGATCGAGAATCGTAAGATTCTACCAAACTAGTAAAAAAATAATTTCTTAAACAATAATATCTCTAAAATGTAGCAATAAATAAGTCCAAAACACACATACACACACACAATGTATGAAAGTACCACTCCAAAGTTCAAATACAATATAAAAAGTAATGTAGCACAGAAGCTAGAGCTCTCGTGACAACTATGCAAATGCTCAAAGCTACTTCATGCGAAATTAAAAAGGCAAAAAAAGGTCTATGTGGAAAGAAAGCTAAATTTTCACTTAAATTGGTAACCAGAATTACACAACCTTAATGAAATAAGGACACATAATTATTATTATTATTATTATTTTTATAAGTATGGACACATAATTATTCTCTCTCAAAATACAAAACAAGGACACTGACCAGTGACTTATTGCATTTTATTTAAACACATCTGCACTCCAAAATACCCACAATAAATTTTATTAACCTAATTAACAGGCATAGCTGAAATAAGCTTAGATTAGCTAATTCTTGGATAGAAAAGCTTGGAGTTTATTGCTCTAAAGCTTTATATCTCAAGTCGAAGGGCAGACCATTGTAATTTCACAGAACCATTATACACTACAGTCTGAACAAAATTAGCAAATCAATAACAGATTCAATGGTTAAAGAAATGTCAGAACAAGAAGTAACAACTGAACCTAGAAAATAAAAAATTTATAACCAAGAACAAAAATAGAACAATAAAGAACAAGTTGAACAACTAAAGTACCCAAAAAATTAAAACAGAGCCAAAAATAAAAATTTTAAACTCAAAAACAAAGAAAAGAAAATCAATTCATCAAATACCCATGCCTGATGCATATCAAAACTCTTAAGAAATCAATTAATCAAAATATCCAAAAAACAAGTGAACAGTAGAATCATACGATTCTACGACAATTCTACCCAAACGGAAGATTTTCATGTGATTCAACTCGTTTTTGGGGGTCTAGGATTAGAATCGTGCGATTCTACGACCTAGAATCGCGATTTTAACAACCTTGGTTTGGATAAGGAAAAGAAGAGAAAAGAAAGGAAATATCTCCCTCTCTCTCTCTCTCTTTGTAGGTGTATGAAATGATGCACAATACATCAGTTTTACTTTGTTACTTATATAAATCTGGATATTTGATACATCAACTATAATGGTGACTAGGTAGCTATACAATCATGGATGAATAGTTCCAGTAACTTCTCAGTTCGTTTCTCACCAAAAAGTAGTAACATAAATCATTCCATTAGAAGAAATTGAATGAGTTTTTCTTCACCTTGTTTCTCACCATTCAATTTATCTATACGGAGTCAGGAATTTCAAACACGCTCTTGCAAAACTTTTTTGGGATGACTTATCTCTTCCCTTATAATGCATAATTCTAAATAAAGATGTTCCTCCACATGCTATGATTAAACAAATAGCTGAATCATTTCAACACACTGCATTCTTTGTTCTCCACTAAAGTGATCTAATTATAGTTATACGTTCGTTGCTGGATTTGTGGAAGTCTTTTTGGTGCGAAATCCTTTAACTTGGGTGAATGGGGTTTTGGGCATCATGCCCAAAACAAAAAATGTATAAGAGCATATGCAGTATAATTAGATCACTTTAATGGAGAACAAAGAATGCAATTAAAATTGTTCAATACATTCTTCTTGATTGTACTGCTTATATGAAGAACGATTATGTCTTAATGTTAAGATAGACCCAAATGTCTTCTAAAATTTGCTCTTTAAAATGTTACGATTTTTTTTTTTTTTTTTTTGGACAAGTCTTTAAAATGTTAGGGTTATTTTTAGTATTAGGAAAGTTTTACTTAACTCCTTGTCCTTTTTCTCTCCAAATCTTCCCACTTTTGGAAGGTTGTTTTTAGTATTAGGAAAGTTTTACTTAACTCCTTATCCTTTCTCTCCAAATCTTCCCACTTTTGGAAGGATAGCAAAGAAGATATTTGGAGAGATAAGCTATCCCTCCAAATCTCTCCATATCCTTTCTTCTCTCTCCTTAATGACAACCCAAACATAAAATGGCACCATCCTTCGTTTGGGTTGATGGATTTGGGAGGTAAAGAAAAGAAATGAAAGGAAGGGATGGTGCTTTTTAAGTTTGGGCTGTCATTAAGGAGAGAAAAGAAATCATTTGGAGGATAGCTTTGCTATCCTCACAAAAGTGAGAAGATTTGGAGAGAGAGGACAGCAAGTAAAGTAGAACTTTCATCTACTGAAAATGCCCTCAACATTTTAAAGAATAAAATTTATATGATATCACCATCTTAACATTTTAGGACATTTGGTCACAAGCATTTGCCGCATCAGAACAAACTCACAGTTGAGAACTCTCCTCCTTTTCTCCAGCTCCAACGCCCTCCATTTCTGCTGTTGCTCCAACACAACTCTCTACAAAGCCAACTTTATACTAATGACCTTTCAGATAATAACTAGTATTACTTTGTGGCATGTCCATGTCTGACGCGTAACATTAGGGATTGCAACAAGGCGGGTATGGAGCGGGTTTGCCTTAATCCACACCCACCCCATTTTAATTATGGACAAATCCATACATGCGATGCGTTTTAATTTCAAATTTTGATAAGTGTATCTATTTCTGTATATATAAAATTGCATAAATTGAAATAAGAAATGGTACCTTACAACAACACTCATTTTTTTTTTCTCTTTATTTATATATATTTCTGTATATATATAGTTGCAGTAACAATGAGTCAATGACACATATCAACGAGTATTTCTTTATACATGTTTCTGTATCTATTTCTTCTTATAACCTGTCATTAGTATTACTATAACACTCGTATCAACTAGCATTACTATAACACAAATCAACTAGTCTTACTATAAATGAAATACGAACTATTACCTAACAATAACACTCATTTCCGTCACTAGGTTTATTCTTTCCTTTCTTTTCTTTTCTTTTCTTTTCTACTCATGATAGTAGTAGCAGACCTCAAGTGACTTCATGCAATCAAGGCAACAAGCTGGTAATGAAATGCAATGTACTACAAAAGCAACTCTATTGACCCTTTATTGCAAAAAGCTGGAAGAAAAGCGAGAAAGAACCTACTACTACTATTAGGGGGTAAGAAACAGAGATGAGAAGACTATCTCGGTAGCTTCAGTCACTTCTACAAGTAAACAAAAAGGCCAAAATCTACTTTCACTTGACCCAAAATCAGAATAGAATTACATATGCACTTCACCAAAAGCACAGTACAACAGTAGGAATTACCATTTGAGAATTAAGTTGACCTTAATTATAGTATTAAATTTTATTGTAAAAGAAGAGTTGATCTTGAATGTAGCATGACAAAATTCCAGTGAGAATTAAAATGACAATATTCAGATTTAGAGAGAGAATTGGAATGATTAACGATCAAAAAGACTATTCCCCTGGCAAAAAATTATAATTGAAATCCTATAGTTGTAAACATATGTTGTATATCAAAGATATAAAATCTCTTGACAAAGAATTACAAAAGAATCACAAAGTAATCTACTGAAAGAATTATAATAGGAACTAAAAGAATAGTGCAAAATCACAGAATTTTTGTATTGTTACTGATCTTCTATTACATGGATGAAACTTTAGCATATACTGCCTTTTAAATAATTCCAAAATCTCCAAGATAGTAGAGCATATAAGTTACAAAACACAATCATATTACAAAATTGAAAAGTCATTACCCATTGATGCTCATGCCTAAGTCCTAATCATAAAATTACAACAAATTCATTTTTTCTTCCAAAATAAACAGTGTTGTTAAAGACGCGTCTAGGCTCGAGGCTCAGGTTTAGCGCCTGTTGTCATCCCAGTCATCCTAGGCTCACTGATGTTTACTAGGCGCGCGCCTCGGTTGCGCCTCATCTTGTTTGTGAGGTGCACCTAGGCGCGCCTCACTAATATTTGTTTAAAAAAATACGATTGTTCTATTTCTTAAGCCAAAAAGGGTATTTTTGGCAACTTAATAAACAAAAAAGAAAGCTCAATCATACGATATAAGGAACTTTTGTTCAAAAGAAATAAAAAATAAAAAAAAATAAAAAATAAAAAACCCCAAGAGTCAAAGTGTTAACCAACAATGATAAAATAAGACTGTGAGACGAAGCCCTAATTGCAGAGATGAACGACGAAGCCATGTCAGTTCTTTCTTTTCTTCTCTTTTTCTCTCTTCTCCTCTAGATCTCTCCTCTCTTCTTATCTTTGTTTACATCTCTCTCTTTGTCTTGTTCTCTCATCTTTTTTTTTTGGCTCTGTTTTTTCTTGTTAACAATTTTTTTTTATTTTTTCGTTAACATATTTATTTCTTTTTGTGCTTTGTTTTGCCATTCAAAAAACACATTTTGCTTTGCCTTTCAAGAAAACAAATTTGTTCTCTATTTTATGGTTGTTGGATGCTTGTATAGTTGATGGATTTACTTTTTTATATTTGATATTAATTTTTAGAATATTGATATAACTTATGAGATATGAATGTTATTATGGTAATTTAAATTTTCAATTGTGCGCCTCACTTCACTCAGGCGCGCGCCTCGCCGTGCGCCTCGCGCCTAAGTTCCAAAGGACCTCTAGCGCCTTGAGCCTTTAATAACTATTTAAATAAATCAGTCTAAGTTTATTTTTAAATTTCTCCCGATTACTTTTTTGTATGTTCCAAACTAATTCTAGAAGTCCGAATCATTCAACTGCAAAATAATTCCCAAATAGCAAATATATGATATAATTAGAATGGATAGCCTATACCCTGCAGGAAAAAATATATCATGATCATCGTTTCTAAATTGATTACGACATATATCCGATGCACTTTTTGAGTCATTACCATCATTTTACACGAGTTTTATGCCGGAATATATTTTGTAATGCCTTTGGTTGAGTTTTACAAGGCATGGCTTCTATGTTCTCAACAAATCCAGTCCAACAATCCAATCACAATAAAATCGAGGAATTTTGACCATATCTGATACAAGCACTTCTAAATGTCAAAAGTTTCCTAATCCTAAGGAGCTTCTTTAATCTAAAAGACCTCATATCCAAACTTAAACACTTATATTTCTTATAACATAAGCCTGCCTCATTCTTAAAGGATATTAATCAGGACTAGAATCTTTGCAATATGGGAATGACCTTTCAATCAACAAAATTTATATTACTGATAAAAGGTCGTCAAGTTGGTTCCCAAGATAATTACTCCATTTTGGTGATTGAATCTCAGTTATTATTCATGTTTCTTCCTTGTCCATAAACTGTTGTTTTCTTCCAACTGTGCTAATCCCATTGTCTGACAAAATTTATAGACACTTTGAATTTTATTACCTAACTCTCATACATTTACCGCACATTACTTTGTAAAAGGATTCAAATGCACTACAAGATTGAACTACTTCATATCCACATTAAATTGGAATGTTATTCTTCAAATGCTAATTCGCTTTGCTCTTAAACCAACATAACCAAATGTTGTGTCTCAGAAAAACCTACCAACATGTTAAAACAGTAACCTGTCTCCACTCCATCCACTATTAATTGGAAATGATATTCTTCAGATGCTATTTTGCTCTGCTTTTAAACCAATAGAACCAACTGTTTAGAGAAAGGGTCTCAGCAGGACATATCAGCGTGTTAAAAGAGTACCCTTTCTCAACTGCTTATGGAAAATGGGTATCCGCTCTTTTCAAGGACAAAATCGACATTAACTGAAGCAGATCCTATAAAGCTTAACTAAACAAAATGGTGGTATATGGCTCCAAGCTAACAACCCTCACGCCGAGACCAACATTCTAACCAAACCCCTCACTCGCACACAAGTACACATCCTCCCACACCCAAAAATCCCTTCTTCTTTTCAGCTATATACTTCATCTCATTTATGCACCTACTCGCTTGACTGATTTAATTTCTATATATTTCACTCAAACCCTGGGTCACTTTATTCTCTCAATCACCCAGCCATACTCAATTTCCACACTGAAACCAGAGGTCTGGAGTCAAACCCTTCCTACTGATGTTAGCATTAACATCTATGGGTACTCATCAAATGAATTTAAAATAATTAAAAAAAAAAAATCCTCCACAACACGATCATTTTCTCTCCTGGATAGAGTTCTGTTACTGTGCCAGAGTGGCATGTGTTTTAACAGAGACCAAAAGAAGACATTGAACCACAAGGAACCAGAACACCTTAAGCCTTGAGACTGATATAACTATATCCAATTCAAATATGTACAAAATAACCTAAAGTTAATTGCAAAGTCAAAAACTAGTGCAAGTGGCCAAATGATTTTCAAGAGCCAACGCCTTGAAGCCCACTCTACACTAGAGTTTTTACTTTGAAAAGGAATGACAAAAAATAAAATTGAAAAACTTAACAAATAAATTCTGAAAACATTTTGAATTTTTTATCACTTCCACTACTGCGAATAAGTCTCCAAGTAGACTTTAAAAAATAAAAGAAAAATTAAAAAGAAAGAAAAAAACTACAGCCCATAAAGCACAACAAAGAAAATATATAAATATATTTCAAACCCAGTTCCATCAAATGTATCCATTTCAGTTAAAAGTTCAAACAGTCTACCCCATCTTAAAAACCCTTCTCATTCAGGGCGCAGCATTGACCTCCTGCAGCACAGTTAAAGAGCACCAAAACGAAACATGCCAAAATCTAAAAATAAAAGGGCAAAAAAAAAAAAAACACCCACACACAAAAGAAAAATAAACATTTATATTTGAATCACTAAAAAAAGCTCACAATAGTAGCAGGGGAAATTTGTTGTCCATATGTGTGAATACGATGATGAATGATGATGATGATGTGCATATGAACACAAAATCAAAAAATCAAAAAAAAAAAAAAAAAGTTTAGAGATAAGAAGTCAACAGAGAGATGATAATAGTAAAAAAAAAAAAAAAAAAAAAACTAAATAGAAGCCCAAATCCTATAACATGAAATTGAATTAATCATGCAATAATCAATCAGTAAAAACCAAACAAAGGAGTACAGAATGAATTCAGTATCCATTATAAATATATATACAAACACAAAAGATAAAAGAGTGGATACAAGGATGAATAATCACGGCGTGAAAAATAGTAAACCCTAGACCAAATCAAATAGCATGGAATTGAACTAATAATTCATATGATAATCAATCGGCAAACCCTAACCCTAACCCTAACCCTAACCCTAACCTACAAATATAAAACCACTTCATTATGAATATACACACAAACATATATACAGATATACCTCTCGGCTCGAGAATTACGCTTCTCTTCCTCAGAGAGCTGCACAGCCATCCCGAACCTCTCGGCTCGTCGAATCTTCTTCTGAATACTGGAAACAGGGGCGTCTACGTTGCTGCTCGCGGCGGTAGAATCCACCGGAAGAGCTTCGGTCGCCGGAGACTCCACGGCACTCTTCGATTCTTCGCCGTCCTTGATAGGCGCGTTCGTACCGACGACGGACGTGGTGTCCGGGGTGTGGTCTGTGGTGAGAGTTGGTGAAGGATCTGTGGGTGGTTGTTGTTGGTCTGGGTTATTTTTAGGGTTTTCTTCTTTCTGTATGTTTGCCGAAGCCATTGATGGAAGTAACTGAGTGAGAATTACGAGTGAAAGAGAACGGAGGGTGTGTGAGTAGTACTCTCTCTCTTTTGTCGACTCTTTATGCACCTCTGAGACAGATCGAAGCGAATTCCCAACGAGAAAAGCGTGGAGGCCCGGAAAGAGAGAGAGAAAGTACTGCAAAGATATTTTGGAGAATAAATCTTATTTTTTATAAATATTTTTATATTATTTCTAAATCTTCAAGTTTTAATTTTAGCATTATTTTTAATTATTTAAATTTGTAGTCGAAATTGATTTTATCTAAAAGTTTAATTTCTTGTAAATTAGTTTTATTATCTTCATAAGAAAATATTTGAATAATTTTATAAAAAAAATAGACTAGTTATTTAACAATTACAAATTGTAAACCAACAAATGCTACAATTGCTAAGAAAAATATTAAACATGTTTGAATAACTATAAAAATATATATATACATAATTGCAAAAAAAGAAAATTATAATTTTAAAAGCATAAATGGAATAGTGAGACGTTTAAAATTTATTTAGGGAAAAAAAATTTAAGTAAAATTTAATTGTATTTTGAAGCTTTGTATGATTTGTCTTTGAAAATAAAATATAAGATTTACATGTTTTTTTTTTTTTTTTTGCCCTTTTTGCAACTCGTTTTCCATATTATTTTGACACTATCATTAAAAAAAAGAGAGAAATCGTCGTTTTCAAAATTCACAATCTTGTTGGAATAATGCTTTTGTAATTCTTATAATGGCTTGTTTGTTTGGTGGGAATGGAATGAAATACAATGGAATGGAATAAATACCTTTAACTCAGTTTGTTCGAAAATATATATATATATATATATTTTCAAAAAATATTTTTTTATTTTTTGGTGTTTAGTTGTCATAAAATATTTACAAAGAAAAAAATATTACAACCTAATTTAATTATTTTGTTTGGAAAGTAATTTAAAAAATGAAATGCTCATTCTTCAGGTAAAAATAATATTAAAAATCAATTTGCTTGGAGAATATGATTACTAACACAATTTTCTCAAACAACTCAAGCCCCATCAGTTTTGTATTAGAAACGAGACATTGAAGACCAAATCAACCATTGAAGGCAGTCAACAACCAATTAGCCGAAAATCAGCTATTAAGGTAGATGGACGATCGATCTGATATCAACACGATCTGATATCAACAGTCGATTTGATCTATTGAAATCAATTGAAGACCAATCCAATTTTAGCTAGCGATTTGCATTCATTGAAGTACCGCTAAGTCGGCAAAAAGCACTGACATATGTTGATTAAAGAGATGTAAATAGGAGTAAATTTTCATGTCGATGAGAAAGAACCAATAAAAGGCAACTTTTATATATAGTGTTTGGAAGATTGAAAAAAAGAAAAGAAGAGAAAGAAAATGTATATTTATATTTGTTTGGTTTACATATATATATATATATAGTTTTCCTTTTGAAACTATGCATAACCAAATGAGAGAATAGCAATGATCATTCCATTCTCTAGTTCATTTCATTCATCCGTACCAAACTAATCCTTAGGTATTACGCAGTTATTATAATTTCTTTTGGATAAGTAAATCAATTAGAATAAAAATTGCTGCTAAGCATCATTGTAATTTCTAGATATTAACATTCCAGTACATAATATGCATAAATTTATGATTGGTTATCTATGTAAGAGAATCGGATTTGGAAGCAATGTCGCAGCCTGCAGATATTGCTTGGTTCGAATTTTGAGTATTTGTTCTTACCTAAAAAGTACGGACATTTCATCTATGAGTATTGGACACGTGAATATGGTCGGAAGTGTTTTTCTTGGAAACAATGAGGACACGTTTTGAACATTTTCAGAGAACGTGAGGTGTTTTTGTAATTATTTTTAAAAAAAAAAAGGATTTAATTCAATTCAAAATATATTATTAGTTAATTAAAAAGTAATATAAAATTTAAGAAAACAAAAATAACAAATATCTAAATCTAAGCTCCAAATTAGTAAATTTTTTCATTATTATATGGATAAAATGAGTAAAAATTATATATATATCAATATATTGTATTATTATTATTTGACTATCCAAACCATATTGGTGTCCTAATTTTTAAAAATTTGCGGTATTACCATGTTGGTAACGTATTTTATTTTTTAAAATATCTAAAAAAATTATGAAAACTTTCACATTAAAATTTATTCTTGGTTGTGTGGGATGGAAAAGAAATGACCTTAAAAACTACTGTTTGGTTGCTGGCCTGAAAAAAAATTCAATAAGATTTCCAGAACAAGCAACTGGAAGTATATCCGTGTGTGTGTGTGTCGCACAATAGATTATTCAAGACACGGGATTGGACATAACATGTATTCATAATAAAATCACCCATTTGATAGTTCTATAGTCCCCATAAAACTATCTCAATGAAGTTTCAAAATTCACTGAAAATGTGTGATATTGATGTCAACCATCATCACAAAGGGTTCAGAATCACTTGGCATTAGGTTACCAATGCAGTTAAATTTTTATCTGGTGTTCTTCATCAGACCAATCGCCAAACACTTTCAGTATCAATCATGATTTGTCCTTCGAATTAGCAGCATGTGAATCTGTTTCAGATGCCACCAGATTTGTTTTTTTGGATCACTGTGTCATGATTATGTTTTCCCTCGTATGTTGTAAGGAAAGCCCTTGGATTATCTGGTGCTCTTTCTACGTACTTGCGCACATTGCACTGGAGACTGGTGCATCTGTAGTAACTTCTGCAAGACCGATCAAACCATGGTTACAGGAAATTGTGACACAGCAACATATCAACCACAGTATAAAATAAAAAGGACAACACATTCTAGTGTTTGGAAGTAATATTAACAATCACCAAAATAGTTATAAGATGCCTTTGTATCATGAAAAGTCAAGGCAAGCCTTTCTTATACTCAAGCAAGATATATGTAGCATATCTATCATAATCTTTATTACATGATTGACATGTACATCCAACTTTAGGCGTAGAAGAGAACCACTACAAAGTTTCAGTGGGGTTATAAAAATTAGAGATATAACACAACCACACAGTTGCATCTTTTTTTTCGAGTGTTCAAAGGAGCATTGATCATCAATATCCGGATACTTGCATCACAATTTTGAACTCTAGGAAACAATCTTACACATTACAGAGAGGGACTCGAAACTTTTCTTCAAGAGAATATAAGTAAGCATCATCCAACCTCAACATTAGACCAATGAAGAAAATGTCAGCATTCAAAATTGTATCCTTACCAAGTTAGCATCTTACCTGGGGTATGAATTTCCCTTCACAACTTTCTGCCCGTACTTTCTCCAGCGAAAACCATCACTTATAATCCCTGAATCTGTTGAACCTTGCACAGCAATACAAGGCTCTTGTACTCCTTCCCCTGATGTGCCTGCTTTGTATGGTTCATTCTCAATTTTCCTGAAGTGAACAATATACAGATCTACTAATTAAGAGCCTTCAACCTAAAACAAAGGGAATATGTGAATCTATTATTGCAAAAGACTAAATATATTGCTTTGTGAATATATAAGCAGCTTGCTTCTTTTCATAAACCTGCTACTACATTTTCAGTTAGTCACTTACCTTCTTTTACTTTTAGGTACACCATCCTCTGCCTCCAGTCCCTTGTCTACTTCCTCACAATCCCCACTAAGACCAGAAGAATGATCAGGAACTGAAGCTGTAAGAGCAGTGAATGCTCCGACTGTTACAGGATTGTAAAATAGTGGAGATTTGCCTGCATAAGTGGACTGAGCAGACAATCCAACTTCATTCTGATGTTCTATTACACTGTCAAAACCTCCATTTCTCTCATTTAGTTGTTCCCCTAATTTGTTGCACTTTGGAGACTGAGACTTTGAATGGTTGTGCTCACCCTCATAGACAATTTCAGCTATCTGCCCACCAAGCGATCTTTCAACCTTCTTTTTCACAGGACAATTTGGGCGGGTGCACTTGTAGTAACTCCGTGGGTATTCGCTTCCTTTAACTTGCTTTTGGCCATATTTTCTCCAATTGTATCCATCGTAAGAAGGTCGATCCCCATGACTATGATTCGTGGGTGCCAAAGATTTTACATCATCTTCCAGGTTTTCTAATGCTGTCTTTGAAGGAGGATCAATTGCTTTCTCTCTTTCTGATTGTGATGGAAATTTTGGATGAAGATTTGAGCCGAGGTTGGATCTTAAATGGTGTTTGACTTGGTTTGGAGGTTGAACACACTCCTCAACCTGATCCACTGCCTGTTGATGACTAACATTGGAGTCTCCCTGATAGAATGAAATATAGACAGCCTTACTTTAGTATCTAGACCAGAGATGTACATGGATAATATTGCAAAGCCAATTCTGTCTTTTATGAATGAATTACTAACAGAATGTATCTGAAAGGTCAAGAAAAAATATAAAACTTACATAAAAACCGACTATCCTAGACCATTATGCCAAGAAAAAGTAATGTGTCACTTTTAGATTCTAACCAGATTTGCCAAGAGGGAAACTGTTGTCTTTGATACAAGCTTTGCCAAGGGTTTGTATACCACCGTGGACTTGGTATCTGATTTCAAAACCTTGTCAGATGAAAAAGAAATTGCAACTCCAGATAACTCATCCTGAAAATGTTGTATAAAATCATGATCATCTTCTGAACAGATAAGAAAGTCATAAAGAGGAATCCATGAGCTAAAAGATAACCTGGGAAGAGATCACCCCGACTGGAGTACGATTTACAGTTGGCTTGAACCTCACTGTCTTCGGTCTAATGGCAATGATGGCAGTTTCAGAACATGCATTAGAGGGTGAGGCATTAATGGAACTGGCTAGGAAATCCGAGAAGGACCTTAAACTGGAACAAGTAGGCCTTGACGCAACTGGTTTAGCTATAACTATCCTCTCTGCTTCTTTAACATCCATTTTTAATAAGTATACGGAAAGAATCACAATTGTTGGTGCATAATGTGTCACTGTGTTAAAGACAAATTTGAAATTTCAACCATCTCAGAATGGAATTCTTTTAGTGCTGACTACAAGATAGAGTTACAATAATGTTGGGAGGTGGAAGTTGATCTTCAATTATGTCCAACTTCTGGCTAATGTTAGCTGCATCTGTTAAAATCCCGAAATTGACTTCTTCAAACCTGCAT